TCAGGTTCTGAGTTATCACCGTCGTCATCGCTTTGCCATTGTGGATGTCTTGGCTTGAAGCTGGTTATGCGAGACAGATATGTTTTACAATGCTCTGGCCAGGAGAATTGGTGAATGTTCTTCAACCCGTTTTGACGACACTTTGCCCATAGTTGCTTATCAGCAACAAGCTTGAGAAGAGCTTCAGAAATTGATTGCTGATCATGAGGATCCACAAGGAGGCCATTGTCTAGAACCTGGCGAAAATATTCAAGGTTATATATTAGAACAGACAAGAAGGTATGTAATAATCTTGAGGGTTTCAATGATTTATTGTAAGGATACATACCCGGTGTATATCTACAGGACCACCATTTTTTGTAGCTACCATGGGCAAACCATGGGCTGCAGCCTAGAAGGGAAAAACACACACACACACACATTTTACAACAAGAATGAGTCATCAAACAAATCCCATTTGATCGTAGAAGAAAAGGATACCTCAATCAGAGTAAGTCCAAACGGTTCAATGAAAGCTGGATTGATGAAAACACCCTGCAAAGAACATCCATTCACAAAATAAATCTACTAAAGAGAAGAGTCTAAAGAAGCATTCTAAGTAGTGTCAAACCGTTGGAATCAAACATGTGAAAGTATCATAATATGCAGCAGGTAACAATATTTGGAGACGCAATGTTTTTCTGTGAATGAAAAAAACTAACATATCAAGTGTTGGATGCCTTGTTTTCATGGTAAACAGCCAAAAAGAAGCTAAAGACGCAAATACATCTAATGATTTTGAATTAAGTAGCATGACATCGTTATAATAAACTGCCAAGAGTACCTTAGACTTTGCAGCTAGCCGATATATGTCGGGAACATCTGACTGTTTGTGATGTTTAGGGTATGCAACTTGGCCGTAGAGGTCATACTTGTCAATAAGCTTCAGAACAGAAAGCAGAACAGAAGAACTCGTGCTCGACATTTCATCAATCCCATCACGGTTACCCATAATAAGTGCCTACAAAACCAGAAATATGAAAGATGAGTAAAACAAAATGGTGATCAAAACAGGAACATATACTAAACAACCGAAGTGTTAAGAGAAACATCTAAACAAAAGTCCATGTACGAAATTGACATACCAGGTTAGCAAGGTCTCTCAGTGGACGACATTCTCCAAATGCCTTCACTAACGTTGTGATGTTCTTTTTTGGGTCGGGCCTCGCAAGGGCTAGTATCATAGGCTTTCGGGAATTTGAAAAGAAACGCATTATCTGCATCACATGTAAATTTGGAGGTCGAGTAAACTGCTTGACAGAAAGATAATGAGAATCTTTAATACAACAACTATTTTTTTTCTCAGGTGAGCTATATATTCAAGTAAGAACCTCAGCCCATATTGGTGGATCTCGGGAAGTAGGATGTTCCTCATTCCCATCTGCGTCTTCCACATCACCATCATGTGGGACAATATGATTGAACTCCATCCCAGGTGGAATTTTCTGAAGCAAAAATATATAAACAGAAAGCATTTTATGTGATGCTACAGTAGACTACACGTAACCATTCTAACAAGGCAAAGAAAGATCATTCTCACACTTAGACATATTTTTCGTCAACATCTTAAAGCAATACTAGGAATTAATACAAACATAAAAACTGACATTTATAAGTAGATAAGTATGATTCTCTTACAAGAATATAGAGTATTAACTATTCACCAATGATCTACTGTGTTTAAACTTAAAAAAACATTTTTAATCACAATCACTCATTGCCCAAAGAAACGCTACCAGTAGTTTATTGTTAGCACTAAAATCTTGCCTTTTAAAGCTTATGTTTTCAGTCTGTGATGACCATTGAGGATCAAGGATAAAGAGAATAGCTAAGGTGTTAGTAACTTACAACCATACGAGGCATGAACCGTCCATAGCAGCTCACATTCCGCTTGATCCTTGCTCGCAATTTACGCTCCAGTATGGGGTCAAAACCATCATACAACCTCCATTGCTCATCTATCTCCTGCCGCGTGCTCGTTATTACCATCTCAGAAACATCAAGAGATAATTCCTCACCCTCAATTCTACGCATAATCTTGTAAGTCGAATTGATTTCTTCTTTTGAAAGGCGGCCTTGTTTCAAAAGCTGCTCCAATTTATCTCGACCGAGTGAGTGTCCAGTAAGAATCATAGGCACATTTAGTGCACCTGATAGCAAAGCAGCAGCGTCACCAGCATCAGCATAGTGTCCATGGATGGCAGAAGGCCAAATAGGCTTCCCACTACCAACTTGTTCGCCGAGAACATTGGACATTTGCATGATGTGGTTCATAGCACCATCAACAAACTCAGCAATGTGAGGCCATAGAAGTTCTTTTGGAATATACTTATCCTTTGGACCAAATGGTATCCTCACAATATAAGCACCGCTACTCTCTCCCATCTCATCCGAGAAATTTTCAGAATCTCTAGGAGTCAGCATTTCTGTCGGTTCACCATAACTCCAGTCAACATCTGGTGAAGCCACTTGTCTGGTAAGCAAGTCGACCCTGTAAACTCCTGGCATTGATCCCAAAGCCCGTGCAAGTTCCACAACATACTTAACCTGTAACGTAAGAAGCAAAGTGAGAAGGACTAGCCTACCATTATACAGCATTACAATCACTCAAACTTCTGCGTATCATTTACCTGGCCACCGGTATCAGAATCACGGCCTAGCTCCATGTTCTCACCACGTATGAGACCATGAAGACTGCATGCATACTAAATGTTAAACAAGAACACTCCAAAAACTTTCCACTATGCTTAGAAACTCTCAATAACAGATCATTTGCAACATGTTTACTCAGATTATAAAACAGGCCCTATAAGGTGGTACTATGAGTTTTCCAAGTACATAGGGAAAGCAAAGGCTAGGAAGTAGATTCTGAGCACATACCTAATCAAAACAAGATACAGCTTGTTTCCCTTCTGTTGATTTGCCCATATCTCCATGGACTCAGCAGAATTAATCCGAGGCAACCTGGGTTTGGTGCCGTGAGTAGAAACATCACTGACGAGATCTCCTTTCTCTCCCTCAGAAAACTCCTCGGACATATCAGCTGTCGCCTCCCTACGACCTCTCTCACGCTCAAGACGGCGCTTAGCCAGCCTCTGCGCCTCCTTCTCCTCATGCTGCACAAACATAAAAGAACATAAGTTGGCAATACTTTTAAATATGTTAAATGTTCCAAGTGCAGAACTGACCTATCCTATGGGGAAAATCATAACCACATAGTACAAGATCAATCAAACATTCATAGGCTATATTCAAGAGTTAAAGGTCAGCTATTCTCCAGGACAGGACAGTTAAAAAAGGTTAAAATTCTATGCCAAGTCCAGGATGATTCTCATTTTCTGATTGCTCTTCTTACTTTTTTTATCCAATTGCAAAAAGGAACAGACTTTGAAAAAGGTTGAAACTTGAAAACAGAGGAGACCAGAATAAACAAAACATTGACTTGAGAGAGTCAAAACAACTTATAGATCATCAAAGTCTAGACTCCGTCAATACTAAAATTATTCTCCAGAAAATAAAAATACACTCTTTTTAAAAAAAAAAGTTACAACCTTTGAATAGAGAACAGTCATAATATCTAGTCTCAGTTATAAATAAGCATCAAAAGTAGGAAAAAAAGATATAATAAAGAAAAGAACCTGCTTCTTTTGACGAGCAAGATTCCAGATCCTCCAACACATATTCTCCAACCTCGTGTTCCTCTCTTGTGGACTCCTCGTTGCAACCGCCTTTTTATAAATCAACAAACATCACTCACTCACAATCACAAGATTGCATATATAAAGATAAAAAAACAGAGAGGTTACCTTGACCCAAGATCTGTGAAGATCAGTCTCATCGTAACCAGTGATGACTTCCTCAACAAAGTAACGGCTTGGAGTGAATCTGCCTCTCTCCCTAAGTAGAAGCGAAGGTCGAGCATCGTCGAGTGGCTGACCAACGTCGAGAATCGCCTCCAAGTAACTGTTCACCCAATCGTTCCCGGCCATTTTTCTACAAAAGATTGTGATTGCTGTATGTGTGATGATGATGGAAGTAGAGATTGGTATTAGTAATTTAGTATAAGTGTTGGTTATCTCGTACCTTTGGTTGTTACTTTTGGTGGAAAGACGACAAAGTAGTCAGCTGTAGTGACGAGTCTCAGAGGACACGCATCCGTTTCGAACGGCTCAAAACTCTCTCCTCTCTCACTTCTTTTATTTTATTTTATTGTTACGCTTTATTTTTAGTGTTGGTCTTTAATAAGGTAAAAGAATTGTCAAATGAAAATATCTCTCTGTTAAATATTGTAATCAGGTATATACTGCTTATTGCAAAATTAGGCAAGATGAATATTCTTTTTTTTTTTAATTACGTGACAATTGACAAGTATATTTTCTATTTCTGTTTTTTTCCATATAGATTCATTGGGTTTATATCTAGTATCATAGATCCGAATATCCGATGATGGATCTGAGTCATCTGACAAAGAACCAAAGCATAGTTTTTGTAATCTTGTTTATTTTCTTTTTAACTAGTCATTGGTTATGAGTCATATGACAAATAATGCAGTGTAAGAAGCGATTCATATAGAAAAAAAAAAGAATAAAAAAAAGAAGAAGTGATTCATATAGAACCCAGTAGATTTTTATCACTGCTAATGTATCTGGAAACTGTAACATCGGAGCTCACTTTCTTTGCAAAGTAGGCTTGTGTTGGTAGCGTTATGTTCGCTCATGTTTATATAAGTCAGACAGACATTGGAGGATTACCACTTACCTCGAGCCTAAACATGACTTAGCGTGACGACAAGAAGAAAAAGAGAGGCAATTATATGATTCCATGTTTGTTGTATATCATTGAAGCAAAGTGCTCATTGCTGGCAGGCAGAATGATAAAGAAGTATATTTTAGAGAAATGAATTAGTGAGATTCTTCTGTCTTTGCTAGGAAGATAGATTGTGGATATAAACAAACTTGTTGGTTTACCTTCTCCTCTTTCTTTGTATTTCAAAAACTTTACAATGATTCTGACCACTGAACGTAGAATGATTGTTTCAGAGCATTTACACTACCGACTAATTGGTAAATGATAGCATATTTTTACATTCTGCCTTACTTTTCCATAAGACTTTCTTAATTGATAGAAATGTAACTTACAAGTCTAATTCGTGAAACTTCAGAACCATCTTTTATGCCATGCTAGAATAGATGCAAATAAAAAGTAATCAAAATCAGCAAAGCCGTTTTAAATTGAACAAAAATTACGAGACAAAAGACATTGTTAACGACGGGAGTTTATGAAATACCATATAGCAAAAGCTAATCCAAAACATAGGTTCTCTCAGACACTAGAAAACTCGAAACATTGTTTCATGAAAAACATAAGCTTTCAAGCAAACAACAAGCTTTAAGCGGCACCCTTGCCCTTCTTCTTCTGAATCTTCTTCTGGTAGAATTCTAGCTCTTTGCCTTCAAGAATGTATCTGCACAACATTCACAAAAACATCAACAGAAATGAGTCAAGGAGTTGTCAACACACAAATATGGACAAAATAGGATAAGAAGAAGAGTACCCATCAGCACGTCCGCATTGGCCAGGCCTTGAAGAGATGCAAGCCAACAACCTTCCACTAGCAAACTGGTCCTCAATGTGGGAATCAAGAGTGCGACCTTCTTGACGGCTCTCAATCTTTCTCTGCACATGGTTGCTCTTCTTCACTTCCTCAGGAGCAGCAGCAGCTGGTGCAGCTTCTTCACCATCCTACAACATTAAAAGTCTCATCAGCGTCAATCCACTGCTAAAAGCTAATGAATCAATCGTTGAAAGGAAAATAGTATTCTCACCTCTCCTTCCTTCTTGGCGGCAATAGAAGCAGCGCTCTTCTTCTTGCGACCAACCTCAACACCATAGTGCTGCAGATACCACTGCTTGAAAGGAGCAGCATCAACCTGAACAATGGCGCTCTTCACAAGTGTCTTTGTACGGACAAGCTCGTTGTTGGAGGCGTTGTAGACCACATCGAGGACTCTGGTCTTGCGGGTAACAGCTTCACTTCCCCAGGAGTAGTTACCAGTGTCGAGCCTCAACGCACGCCACTTGACGTTGCCTCCACGGACACGGATTCTTCTGACCGTCTTGTTGCTGGACAACTTGGTGTTGGCTGGCTGCCTTCCCATCTCGTACCTTCATAAACCACAACACAAAGATTATAAACTACACAAGGAATTAGAAAAGTTTGGAGCTTTACACTAATCACCTGCAATTACCGAACCTAGACTATAAGAGTGTGAACAGACAATAAGAGAACAAATCTATTAAGACAAAACACAGATATAAACAAAACACAGAATCACAATCCAGAAAGCGCTGCTAAATGATAGCTTTTCATAATATGATATCAAAATATAATGTTCACCAACGACGTTAGTAGTCCAAATTCGAAAAGACTGAAGCTTTACACTAATGACATGTCATTACCGTACAAAAAATAAGAGATCAATTAAGACAAAACACGCAGCATCACTTCCTCATTCAAAATGTTTATAAAAAAAGATAAAATCGAAGCTTACTTTCGCTTCTTCCTCCATTGCTTCTGCTTGCCTCCAGTGGCACGCCTCTTGTGGATTGAGTCACGAGAAATACCTATCACAAATCATTTGTTACATATATCAGATTCAACCATAGAGACATTCAGTTAACTACAAACAGAACCGTATCAAACAGAGAGAGAGAAGTGAAGGTTTCGTACCCATGGTTGCTTAGGGTTTCACAAAAACTGCGGAGGGTGTACTGAGGTTTGCAGAATTGATTTATAAAGAGTGTGCTGTCTAAACGAAAACCCTAGAGTTACAAAGGCCTCTACGACTCGGCCCATATTGCATTACTAAGAGTACGTTTTGTATAAAACTCTAGAAATCGGTTAACGTTTTAAGGCCCGTCCTTTCTGGCCCATCTAATTGCTTATGCCGTTATGCGGTATACCCCCTCCCTCGTAACTAAGCTCTGAACATTTAGATATTCGATTCGGTTTTGGATAGGAACATTAGGTTCTGGATATATGAGATAAATCATTTCTATACCTAATAGGTATTTATAAGATTTTGGTTAGGTTGCGATTCGGTTTCAGTTTGGTTTTGGATACCTATTTAATATGTGAACCAAATATATATATACAAAATATATTAATTAATATGTTAATCTAAAATGGTTTAGTATTAACACATTTACATATTCGTTAATCCAACAAGAGTTTGAATTAATAAAGTGTTAATTATATAGATATTTACTGTATTTTAATATAGAAATACTATATATATTTATAAAATAAGAGAGTAGATAAATAATAACATGAACAGGTGATAATAATGTTCTCACTCTTCATGTCTAACCTCTTTTCAAGTGGATTTGTGTTATTTTACTTTATATTTAAAAAAAATTGTTTTTTTTTCAAATATTCGGGTATCTGTTCGCTTCTCGGTTTAGTTCAGATTCGATTTTTCGTATATAGAAATATAGGAACTATTCAAATATAGTATTTGAAGATTTTAGTCCAGTTTCGGTTTTGGATATTTCGGTTTGATTCCAATTTGATTTTTCGGTTCAAGTTTTTTTGCCCAGGGCTACCATAACAACACCCAATTTTTCTGATTTATGAAAATGTTTTCTCAATCTTTCAAGAAAATTAAAAAGCATCTTTAGATGTACATTTTAGTGCTTTCTTCGGTATATCTTATACAATAAAGTTGAGTTTTCTCACTTCTCAAGCCTCCACATCAGCATTAGAGCATGGGGCAAAAAAAGACATGTCAGCATTTAATAATTGAAATCAAACCGGACAAAATTAATTCTCATCTCGGTTTGTCACATTCTGATTTTTTGAGTTTTTGACAAAATGGGTTTGGGCTCTTTAAAATATAATGGCCANATATCTTATACAATAAAGTTGAGTTTTCTCACTTCTCAAGCCTCCACATCAGCATTAGAGCATGGGGCAAAAAAAGACATGTCAGCATTTAATAATTGAAATCAAACCGGACAAAATTAATTCTCATCTCGGTTTGTCACATTCTGATTTTTTGAGTTTTTGACAAAATGGGTTTGGGCTCTTTAAAATATAATGGCCAGTTTTAGAATGATTTCTGTATTACCCAACTTGCAGATTTTTTTTTTAAGATTTACACACAATTTCAGTCCGTTAAATCGTCTTCTTACCTTAGGTTTCAGAGATCAAACCGACGGTCATCTTTTTGTAAAGTTTTTTTTTTTTACGTTTTTGTAAAGTTTTTTCCTCATGCATCGTTATATAAATTATAAAATAATTAACACTTGCACAACTTATAACTAACAAACAAGGTGCATAGTTTGTATTACATATATTTCAACATCTTCGACGTTTTAGTGTACACTATTTAAAGTAACAAATGATAATAATTAACACAAATTAATAGAATTATGAAGACACCATCATAGAAAATTATGAACACTTTCATAACTCATATAAGATTACACAAACTACAGAGCTAATGAATACTTGCACAACTTCTAAAAAATAAACAAAGAGCAGAGCTTATATCACTTTGTTTAAACAAAGGTCGGAGCTTATATCACTTTGGTTTATGATTTCCACATATATAAGAATCTGTTCAAAAAAATGATTGCCACATATACAAGGTTTTAGATGAGAAATTTATAAGTAACAAACTAATAATAATTAATTAACACAAAATAATAAAATTAAAAAGTTACCATTACAGAAAATTATGAACACTTGCACATCTCATAAAAAATTAGACACATTTCAGAGCTTATATAACCTATATTGACACATCCTATACGCTTATAAGACAAGTTTATAAATAAAAAACTGCTAAAAATTAACAAAAAAATGGATTTAAGAAGCTATAACCTTACAAATTAAAGTTTATCGTTGCAGGGTGCCTACACGCCTCCCAACTGAATGATTAGCTCACATTGCAAATGCAGTGTAATTGCAAAAGCCAGTAGTTACGTATCTCCTACATTCTTGCACTACACAATTCTGATGCAACCTCTTGATTCCTAATTACTCAACCATTACGATTTTCAGAAATAATGGTGAAGACGCCAGTTGAATTTAATGGCAAAGCAACCACGGGAGATCTCCCAAAAATCTTAGTGTTTCTGAACACTCCACCGCATCATCATCATATGTAACCAAAAGAAGTCATTAAAAGAAAAATAATTTGGTCCAAAGCAGACATAAACTAATTCTTTATGACTTTGACAACTTACTCTTTTGTAAAAAAAATTATGTACTTATTCCTACTCTTTAATCTTTTTACCTCCAGTATCTGAACCACGCAGCCTTGGCTACAAGATAAATATCCACCACGCACACCAGCCCACCCCCCCTCCCCCCATATCGGACACCTATCAGCTGAAGCTCATCTTAATAGTGAGGGAATAAATCAGTACTTCTTCCACCACAAATCAATCAAAGCACTCAATCACCTCACATGTGCCAATCTGCTTATGGAAAATACGATAAGGGTATGTATCTTTGGGGTTTAGTAATGTTGTGCAGAGGAAACCTCAAAGAAGGAAAATATTTCTTTGATATCCTTGACTAGGAACACACACTANAACACAACTATTTACATTTTTCATTTACAAACATGAACTTTACTTTATGTTTAAGTATTTACTAAATTAACTTTGTAAAGTCTATCAAATTTTTACTCTACTTTTATTTGTTTCGATTAATAACAACCACTTATGCTACTCCACTAATAATCAGAAAAGATCATTGTCTTCAACACTGTTACAACATCAAATTTCTGAATATAATTTCTGAACATAATCTCTTCACCAAGGCCACAAAATAAATCGCAACTTCTTTTATAAAAATATATATGAATCCGGCGCGTAGCGCCGGTACACCACTAGTAACACATATTTTTAATAAACATATTAGTGAAATTGTTTTTTTACGAAAAAGAATTCTGTTTTTTACGAAAAAGAATTCTACAGCCAAACCATTTCAGCAAGAAACTCGACTACCTAGATTTTTTAATTTATAAAATCAGCTACCCCAAACTCAAAGCTTATTGACAAGGTACCTGGAGCCAAAGATTATTCTAACGAACCACATAAAATATAACACTGAAGTACTGGAGCAGCTAAACGAGAGTATAACATACAATGGAAGCAGATGTGCATGTGATATCCCTGTTTTGTCTTCAAAACATCTCTTACATCTCTTGTACACATCGGTTTTATCTATTCATATGTCCAAAATATCATTTTCTTTTTACCTAAAGAGAAACCATGAAAACAAGAAAACTCACAACTCTTCTTCATTTTCGTTTGTAATTCCATTCACAATTTTCTTCCGCCGCATTAACGCCTTGAAAAGCGTAAACGCTGAGATCAATGCGATCTCCCAATGCTCAGAGCTGTTGAGTTTCACGTTTACCTTCCCCATTTTCCTATTGTTCATGTTTATGCTGACGTCTACGTTCGTGTCCCGAGTTGGTCTAACCTGAGTCTGTAAACCCCAGTTCAAAACTAGCTCTTTGTTGAAAGACAGAGCCGTCATTGTCACACCTATTTGCTCGTTTCTCACCGGGTAATCTCTCCCTCTGATACAAGCTTCAAAGCTCCCTCCATGTGCTGTTTGCCCTGAACCATTCATCTGACCTGCATTTACTGTTAACTTCACCCTCTTCCCAACCAATAAGGAATCCTCAAGCTTTCCGCTCAAGTAGTACTTCCCGCCAAAAGATGTTAACCCAACTCCGAGATCTGTTGTGTTGTGCTTAAAAGTTTTAAGCTTCGTGCCGCTAAGAAACGAGTAGACAAGATCATCTCCTGATGACTGGACGTCAGCAGCTAGGGAGAATGTCTGTATTCTAGATTCTGTAGTATAAGCTGCGTTAGTCTCGGAGTGGATGGTGAACCGTTGCTTATCTCTGCTCACCTGTCCGTTAGCTGAAGCAAATAGATTCCTTTTCAGTTTTGCAGCTGTCTCAATGTTTATTCCATCAAAGCCCACATCGTGATCCCAACCTTGAGGATCATAGACAGGTCTCACTAGCCACTGGTCCCCTGTGGCAATGGATCGGTATCGGTGAGCTGGAAAATCAGAATCAAAACTGTCTGGACCCGCCATGTCCGGCAATGGAACAGCTGCTTGGTCACTCTGTTCGGTAAGATTCTCCTCTTCATTAAGCTTTTCATCTCGTCGTCTTCTACATTCTTCCTTCAATTGTTTCTTCAGATAAAGTGTTTCCCTGTAATCAAGCTCATCGAGATACTCTCTCTTCTGAGACTTTGACAGCTTCTCAAACCGGGCTTTCCCAAGGATCCGTATTGCAGGCAACTGGTCATACTCATCTTCTTCCTCCTCCAACTCCGACTCCATAAGCTCGTCTATCTCCTTCTCTGCTTCATCTCCACCTGATGATAAGCGACGCCGCAGAAAAACCGTAAGAAGATGAGGAATAGAAGCTGTTCGGGTACTACTTGGCTGTCCCAAACCAATGCTGTCACGAAACCTCAGTAGAGACTGGACATCACCAAGAACTTTGGTACAAACGCACAGAAACATAAACTGAGGCTTCCACACCTGTCCGTTAGGAAGAACATACTCACCCGCAGGATTCTTTCTACAGCTTGGATGATTCTCAACTAACAGCACAGGGTTTTCTAGCTTCGTATCAGACACAGCTTGATGTATATAGTGCTGAACCACATCCATGCGCTGGCCAACATATGACTCGTACTTCGCAGAAGCAACTGAAGAATGTGTCATTACAAGTATTGTGTTTAACCATATAGCTGCACCCAAGACTTCAGTTATGAGGCTCAGGAGAGGGAAATCACTGTATCTCATGTCGATCATATCAAGACGGTCCAAGTAAAGAACTACATCAGGTGGACGCTTCTTAACGTATCTCTTGATAGACATCAGAGTCTTTCTGTTTTTTCTTGTGCTAGAAGCTGACGGTTGGTGAAAGCCAGGGGTATCAATAAACGTTACTTTAACTCCACTAACTGTTCCCGTAACCTCTTCTATGCGATCTGTGGCTGGTTGGAAAGCATCAGTTTCGCTTTTTGACTGACCAAAGATAGAGTTTATGGTTGCACTCTTGCCAACACCTGTTTTCCCCAAGACTAGGATTCGAAGTGAGAAATCCAGTTCCGGTAAGCCAGATAATTCTTGCTCCTTCGCTAGAGCTTTGGCCCTATCTTGCTTAAGTTTGACAGTTTTCAGTTCTGATTCCTCGGCTCGTATTAGCATTGCGAGGTGTACACGGTACAAAACCTTGGAGACTAGGATGTTGTTCTGTGACTGACCAAACCTCTGAACAAGGCGTAGAAACTGTACTTGGAGGTCACCAATCTTTGCTAGTGGGTTAAGATCAATACTTGACTGGTACGAGGTTTCAAGTGGAATATTCTGCTGCTGAGAGATGGGAGGCTGAGTTTCTACATCACCGCTGGTTGAACATGGTGCTTCCGAGCGTGCCACTAGTTCTGGTAAAGCAGGGGCTTGAGCTAAAATAAAATAAAAATTGAAAGCTATTAGTCATTTAGTCAAAGAAAACATACAAATAAACAGCAAGAAGGGAAAATCAAATAATCAACAATGTATCCGTCTAAGCAATCGGGTAAAGTATCAAAAACCAAAGTTATATTCAATTCTATAAAGTCTGCAGAAGCAATTCATATAAATTAGTAGACCAGAGGAAGTGGAGTTTGTTTATAGAAGAAAAAAACGGCGAGTAGTACAAAGAGGATATGGCCATAGAGCATAGGAAGAGGCCAAGTAGATAAGTTAAAAGAGGTCATAACAAGTCCTCACACACATCCCACAAATGTTGTTCCCATAGAAAAATATAAACCCAAAAAAAACAGCCGCAACAATCATTTTTCAGGAGACTAACATAAGGTAGTGAGGAATGAAAGAGAGAGAGAGAGAGAGAGAGTATCATACAATGGTTATCATGTTCTTCATTGTCTCGGGAGAAAGGGGCACTCCCCAAAAGAGGTCTAGAGGATGATGCCATGGAATTGGATAGATCGAAAACCCAGTCTATGAAACCTTTCATTCTAACCTGTAACAACAACAACAAAGAAGTCAACGCTGAGCTAGCTAACTACAACTTTGTTTAACACAGCTACAAAAGATTAACATTTTTTTTTTAATCTAAAGTTCTGTAGAGAGATAATGAAAACGCCATAAATGCATCTTTTATGAGCTGAAAAAGAAACCCAATTTCCCCAAATTATGTTCTGTAATAAGAGAGCTCATTGAAACACAATAACCTTAAGAATCACAATCAGTGAGATGAAAAGTCGCAATCGTAAAAAAAAAACACATATCAAAGAAATTGAAGAGCATAAAAAAATTTGGGTTAAGCCACAGATTTGAATTGAGAAAATCGGAGATACCTTTTGTTGTTGGCAACAGTGTTGGTGAATAGAGAGAAGATCGAGGTAAGACAAAGGTTAGGTTTTTGGGGAATTAGGATAACGAAGAAGATGCTCCCCTCGATTTTTTTTTTGTTTTGTTTTGTTTCTTGTTTGTTTTGTTTTGTTTCTTCTTTGCATGAGGCTAACATGTACCGAGTACCTTCCGCTAACATGCGCTCCGGACCTGTGGTTATGTAAAAGGCTGTGTCCTGTGTATGTCTTGGTCAAGAGCAACCCAAATTAAAATTACAAGGTTTTCGGATTTTTATGATACAAATAAATTCTTGTACTTTAACAAAAAAATCTAATTCGAATTAATACAGGGGCTTATAATTTATTAGTTTAATACCAAATTTTCCAAAAGGTTTCAAGATTACTACATGCACTTCAATTTGCAATAGTGTAAATCTATATATTTTTTTTAATTTAAGTCTTCTTGTATATATTGATTTGCTATTATAGGATGAATCACATTTCCCTCTAAACGTCAGGGTCCAACAGATTTGTTTCCAGGGATGGGCATGGAAACTTCTTTCATGGTTCTGTTCAAAACTTACTGATGGTAGTTTATTTTGTTAATTAACAAAGTTTTGTGGCATGGAATTAATTTTGTCCTTGCAATAACACTTTGTTAAATACCAATTCTATTTTTAGCAAGTAGTAGTTCTCCTCCCAAAGTGGAAGGGTTTTAGTTTTTCTTTTTTTTTCTTAAAAAAAATCTTTGTTTTATTACAACTCATTTAAGCTTCTCCAAATCTCATATTGCATCCACTCAGATTCCTCTGTGTTCTTGGGTAATCTGATGTTTCATCTTTTTCTTCAAGAACCAGTAACATGTTCATTGAATTTCTCAACACATTCTTTATCACATTTTCTTGAGTGGCAATGACCTCAAATTTTAGAGAAAGCATGGATAGAAACGAGTTAAGAGAAGGTACTATAGCTATAGCAGTGGACAAAGATAAAACAAGCTGTCAAGCTCTTAAATGGGCAGTGGAACAGTATATACCACGAGGCAGAACAATAAAACTTGTTCATGTCATCCAAAGATCTACATTGAATGCAAGTGGACATTCTACAGATGATGAATCGTCTGGAAAGCAAAGTAATGATAAAGTAACTCGTCAGTTTCTTCCAATGCGTTGTCTTTGCATGAGACGAAATGTAAGTATGATATGTCTTTCTTTTTTCTTGTTTCTTTTTTATTACCTTTATGTCTCTCTGATTAATGGTTTATTATCAGATACAAAGCGATGTAGTTATGCTTGAAGATCAGGATGTAGCCAAAGCGTTGATTGAATATATTAGCCAGAACTTTATTTCTACATTCTTGTTAGGTGCCTCGTTAAAGAAGAGCATTACAAGGTTACAAAACTTACTTCCTAATACATGAGTTAGTTGTATTGTTTGGTTTGAAATAAACACATGAATCTTGCATCTAAAATGGTTTTGATTTTGAAGGCTTTTTAAGGTTGATGACATACCAAGTAATGTGATGAGATGGGCTCCAGACTTCTGCACTGTCTTAGTCATATCAAAGGGAAGACTATCAAGTGTACGGTCAGCCACTAGGCATTTACCTCAAGGCTTGCATTCTCCTTCTTCAGGGACTGCACCTTTGTCACCACTCAGCAACACTGATGAGGCTCCCTCTGAGATGTAAACATCTAACATTATGTTTTAAGCTCTGAGATAAACTTCTTGTTTGACTTGAATTTTGGATTTTTGACAGGTCATTGTCAAGAGAAGACGATGTTTTCTTTGAGGAGTTTTCATCCCTTGGCACAGATTCTTCTACTGTGAACATTAGTGACAGGATGAGTACTGATAGTTCGGTTCTCTCCTTCTATGAGAAGCTAGGGACTCCAAACATGTTGGAGATTCCTAGATTCTCAGGTCTTGATGATGATAAATCCAATCTTTCGATATACCTTAATAGTCCTTCTGATGTAAAGCTGATGGATGAAGCCGAAGCTGAGAAGAGAAGTCTGAAGAAAGAGCTGAAGGAGACAATGAACATGTACCATGCAGCCTGCAGAGAAGCCCTCATGGCAAAGGAGAAAGTAGCTGAGCTAGAGATATGGAAAAAGAAAGCAGAGAAAAGGCTTCAAAGGGCTGAGGAAACAGCAATAATGGCTGTTATGAAGATGGAGAAGAGAGAAGTGGAGGTAAAGCCTAATATGAAGGCGGTGATAGGGCGTAATGACAGAAAGATGGTTCTGGAGGCTTCTTTAGAGTCTCATATGGTGGTAAAATATGAGAGCTTGCTCCAGATTGTAGTTGTACTTTTCTTATTTTATTTTTATTTCACACTCAGACAATCCTCTTTCTTGTGATTGGAGTTTGGGAGATGATGTAAGTAACAATGTCATCTTATCTCCATGACAAGTTGTTCATTCATTCTCTTGTATAGATCACTCTTATTATATTTGTTCATTCTTAACAAATGTCATTCTTAAAATTGATTGTTGTTCCCTTTGAAACTACATTTAGTTTCAACATACTCATTTGCTTTGAAACTTCATACATGGTTTGAGTTGGGATCACATAGGATCCTCTTATCTGATGCATGAGAGATGATATAGTAAATCATGCCATGGGTTCAAGAATCATTGCACCATATAGTTTATATTCGTAGGATGAGATTCAAAAGATTTTTGGTCCAAGATATGGGTTTAAGGTTGGTCATGGTTAAGAATTTGATAGACATCATATCAGCTAATTCACATAGTTTTAATATAATTATATGTCCACGATAACCTCATTCTTGTAACCAAGATAAAGCAACTCGAGATCATCGGCGAAGGAATCCAGTATGCTCGAGACACCATAAAGCAGCTTGAGCAGCCTGCTCTGATGCACATTTCTTAGTTGATTTAGCTTCACCATAACACTCCAGTGTCATATTGGGTGCATCTACAACTTCCAGGATTACCTTATAGCGGAACCTGTAAAACATGCACACAGTTGATGACATCAAATCCAGTAACTAGAAGTTTAGAGATGTAGCATTGTTTTGATCAAAATTTGCTTAACAATTTCAGATGGCCTGGTCCTCCCTCCTCGCAACATACGAACTCTGGTGCCTTCCAACAGTTGGCAACACATGTTTCTCGCAAGAGAGATTTTGCAGTTTTGATGATCGATCCACCTGTTCAGTTTTAGTAATCGAATTAATAATAACTCAGGATATATATAGATACTGCACCAAGTTTACAGTCTCAAAATTGTCCATCAAAATACCTGCTTCTTTGATGGTCTTTTGAGGAAGGCTTTCTTCTTTTTCAGATGGTGGTGCATTGGTGAGAACTCGTCTGATGATGTATGAGCTGCTTGTGTCACTAGTTTTGCTCTCAGTAACAGGATCCTCGTCAAAAGAATCTTGGATTTTAAGGTTTTCAATGTCCACCCCATCAAGATCCACAACATCTATAGGCTCTTCATCGTACCCAATCAATTTAGGTTCATTTCTGAGGCTATTCTTCAGAACATCCTCCAACGGATTGGAGGTTTTTATGTGCCCATGAGCCTGCGGATGAATTACACACAGATTTTCTTAAGAAACCAATTACAATACTGAACAATAGTTAGCTCAAGATAGGAATATATCACATAAATAGAAGGAACTCAAGCCGCAACTACCTTCAGGTTCGTAAGCATCAGCTGTGCAGCCTTTTTGGTACTCTCTTTTTTGTTCCGACCAGTTGCAGAAGCCGTAAAGCAAGAACCTTTCTTGGTCACTTTTAATTCAACAGAGAAACCACCATCCTTCTTTGTCGCTGATATCTCCTGATCCCACTTGTAAGACTGGCAATATTCAAGAAGTTCTTTCACTGGACTAAGCTGCAGGTTAGACAAGTTTTTCACTGGATCTAGAAAAGACAGCATTATTTTCCAGACATGATTCAAGTCGAACCCACAGTCGAGGAAAAGAGCCCCCAAAAAGGATTCTACCAAGTCACCAAGAATCTGCATACAAATATAATAACTACATTAGTTCTTCCACTACTATAATCTACATTATATCAAACAAGACAAGTTCTAAAAAAACTTTCAACGAATTATCACAAGTCCCACCAAAAAACACTAATTTACAGAATATAAGCAGCAAATATTGCCTTCATATGGAAGGAAGATACAAACACATACCTTTGGGCATTTTGGACCTTCAGATGGTCCACTGGCCAATGGTGACGCTGTCAGGAAGTTGGTATAATCCTTTATAGCATCATGGAGATAAGTAGATTCGCAAAATAAAAATCTCTGTAGTGAAAATCTGACAGCAACATTTGCCAGTGCCTTATTATTTACTGAGAGCGATCTTAGATCAGTCAGTTGGCCAGGTTTTAGTTTCGGAAAGACTGAGAAAAAATAGGATGTAATCAAGTAGTCCAGAACAGCATCCCCAAGAAACTCCAGTCTCTGCAGACCCCAAATTAGAGAATTTTGGTTATAACAGATGCATATGAAAGTAAATGAAAAATAAGAAGGAAAAAAAACCTGGTAGCAGCCTCCTCCATGCCTGTTGTAAGATGGATGAATGAAGGCTTGTAAAAGTAGACCTTTGTGGAGAAACTTATGTCCAAGCAGGCTTTCCAGGGCCGCCAAATCCAAGCAAGTAGTCAGTTGCACGTACCGCTTGCTTGCAACACAAGCATCTCTTATTTGCAATGACTCAAAATCAACATTTATGCCAATCCATTTAAGAAATCCAATGGCCCCCTTGAAGCCACTGTCAACTAAGAATGCTCCCACAAGAGCCTCAACCACATCAGCAATTGTTTTCTTTTGCAACCAATGATGGCCTTTGCTACATCTGATTTCACCAGTACTTGATTCCAAAATCCCAGGAACCTTATCCAAGGAATGAACCTCTTCCATTGCTACCTCGTCACAGGTTACTCTGCATGGATGGCCAAATGCAAAGAACTGTGTAGGATCGAAAGCTTGATCACGGATGTAAACCTGGGAAATGCCAAGGTTAAATATAATCCAAAACCAGACTTAACTAAATTACTACATCTCAGTCTAACTAAAATAAGTAAGAATATATTCAATGTACGGAGGCAAGGGTTCGGGTGGTACTCTATGCACCATATCAGTATGTGCGTTGCCACAGCTCAACAAAATTAAAAATGTACCGGCCACCAAAGCTTTTAAAAGGAATGTTTTGAGGACCTGCAAATTTCTCCTGGTTGCAAGCCTAAACAGGTTGGAATTGTTCACAGCATTTGAGCGTCTCCGAGTCAACTCTCCTTCATCAAGCCTATCATGGTGTAGAAACAGGTGTCGGCTAACAGCAAACTTGAGGAATGCATCACCAAGCACCTCAAGCCTTTCAAGAGAAAAGCGCTCCTGACATTTCTCTGTTGTGAGCGCCTCAAGTACCTACACCAAGTCATTCGATTGGTATAGATCAAACATTACAAAGTTTTAGGAAAATCAAGCAAATGGATTATCAAGTGAAATGAGATTATACTCTTTGACCAGAAACTTCAGCTATCTCAGGAAGAGAAATAGACAGCATGTGTTTCAGTTCGATAGCCACAAGTAAGTTCTCCATACGGTGCAAGATTGATGGTAGCAAGGATAACGAACTCCCAATATCTTTAGATAATCCTTTTATCTTTAACTCACAAAGCTCTGGTGGAATCTCTATGAAATATTCCTCAAGTTCATGTGGTTCTGGTTTTTTTGGTAATATGAGAATGGTAAACAATTAGAGTATACAAGGGTGTGCTGTACATGGACAACAAATTTGTAAAATATAAAAAAAAAAAGTTAAGAAAATTACCCAAATTCTCCAGCTTTCGGTTGTTAAGTAAGTTCCGAACATTACAAAGTGGTTTCAAACGCAAGAGTGGCTGTACAGGATGCTTAAGTTTCACGCCATACCTGGTTTTGTTAATATAAATGAGAAGGTTAAAAATAATAACGGAAAATGAGAAAGTTCTTCAACTCAGAAAATCATGTGATCCTGAAGTCTAGAGTCCCAACCAATTTTATAAGGGTTGTTATACTGCTCTCTGGAGTCTGGGAAAATAACATTAAAATAAAAACAATCTCAAGCAACACAAAATAAAGCAGAATATATGACCTCCCTAAGAAACGATGCCATCGAACAATCACTGAATAGTAGTAGTTTAGTAGCTTACGATTTATATATGCTTTCCAGATGTGTTTCGGTGATTGACTTTCTAACAGCACTGAAACCATTTCTTCCATGGCAGATATCCGCGACAAAGTAAAATAGCTTTTTGTGGGTTGCAAAAACCAAGCTGTTCTTCACATCATCAATATTCCAGCAGCCATTTGCAAGCTTTAAATGAGATCCCACAGGATGATCTATATCGTTTACTAAGCCAGATGGAGCCTTGAACATTGGGGACGACAAACAGCTTCTGATAGTCACCCAATCCACAGATATAACACTTTCTGCATCATCCAGACTAACTGGAAGAAGAAGGTAGAAGGTCGATTTGCTTGTTATAATAGATTCTTGCTGCCCCAAGGAAACGAATTCCGTAATTAGCTCCCGCCGTTCAAAAAGAATTTTCAGGGCAACCTCCTGGAAAAGCTCCGCTAGCCTTATCTGCATAAACATAAATCAAATTAGAAACGTCAATCTAGTTAAATTTTTATCAAACGAAAAAGCTCAATACCTCCTCATTGTCGAACTTGGCGTCTCCTTTTGGAAAAATCTTCACATTTACAGATCTTTGATGAGCAAGGTGAAGATCGAAATCCATAGTCTCAGCCTCAATGGGAAGTGGTGACTTCATGAAGAGACCAAACTTCTTGTAGATCCTATCGGCGGGATCAGGCACAAACCTTATGTAGTAAGATTGAAGATTAACACAACTCTTTGATGGATCCCACTTTTGTTTAAGCAAGTCAGGAACAATCATCTCATACAGTTCACCTCGCGAACAGGCTTCACCTGCTAAGAAAAAAGACCGTTAAATAACGAGTGATCAGTATAAACAACTGAGATTTATAACTGAGCCATTATGCACCTTCAACTTTATCGAAATCAAATTCGTCATCTGACAATTCGTCCTCATTTGAATCCGGCAAAAGAAAATTGTTAAGTACACCCAAGTTGTGCAACTTATAGACAGCCTTTAGACAAGCATTCTTTTTGGCAGCTTCAATCGAAGGTAGTAGCGAACTGACGATTTCATTTATAGGAGCATTAGCAGGTAAAATTATGCGACAGATAGTTCCGTCAAATTCGTCAACAGGTTTGAATTGAAACTCTGGCTTGGGCTGAAAAAACCTGATGGAACAAAAAACGGCAAATGAAAATTCAATTATGACACCCCTGCTTACTGTGGAAAGTGAATACAAGAAGCACCAACAGAAAAATTGGAAGCCTTACTCATCATGTGGAAGCCTAGAACAATACTTGTAGAGAAGGGAGATGCTACTTCCACCACTGATACAAGCTCCTGTCTCATGAACTCTGTATACCTCATCATCAAGTCTGGGACTAGTTTCCTCCGACGTTCTGGATGTGATTTCCAGATTCATTCGATCTTCATTAACTTTAAAATTTTCAATCAAATCCATCTCTTTCTCGTTTCCCCTGAATCATGAAAGAAGAAACAATGTAACTGCTTAGGGAGTAAAAACGATGTCATAATTATGGCCTTATCAATTTCTCATTCATACAGACCTGTCAACTAGAAACGCATATTCAGACTTAGGCATTCGAGCACGGCCTCTAGACTGTATGAAGCTGGTAACAGTCTCTGGCAAATCAAAACGGATCACAAGACAGCATGTCTGAATATCAAGACCTTCTTCGCCAACTTTAGTGGCAACCAGTAGATTGAGCTGGAACAAGAAGAGGAATCTTTAGAAGTTAGTTGGAAGTGGCTTGAAAATTGATCCTAGAAAATACATCTTTGTCTAAACGGGTGTTCGCCTGTATTTTGTTTATATATTATATGTGTGAATTGTGAAGGCACATGGAGTACAGGGATCCGAATAGTAACTATAGATTCAAAGATGGTTAAAGATCACCTCTTTAGATTGGAACCGGTCAAGAATTGTCTTCATACTCTTTCTTGACATGCTCTTCAGTCCAGAACTAAGCCCAACAAGGAAATCAGACTTCCAAGACTCTAGAAGTTTCAAACTATTTAGTATGCATGACAACGTCCTTGCAGTCACAATCCGATTGACAAATATTATACACTTCATGTGTGGCTCTATCCTGAAAGAAAAATACAATTTGAAGCTTACTGCAAAATATACTGTGGGCTTCTCTTTCAAAATGCTCGCATTAGCATGACAGTTGAATCAAAGACGAGGCAATGAAAAGCAATCAAGGTTTCACAGGGCCAGTGGAAAATAACAACTACCATTTCCTTATAAAAATCCATTGTCTTTTGACGGTGACTTAAGAGCTGAAAATTGTTTATTCAGGAAAGGCCATATTCTGTCTTCTGAACAGAAATCTATTGATTATGGCCAATTTTTTCGTGTATCTATAACGCCTATCTTCTAGGCGCTCAAAACGTATCTAACGCAAAAAACTAAAAAAGGTAGAGATGAAAGATAGGTTAGTGCAGATTAGCTTTTCTCAAATAGAGTACAGCTTTGCAATTTTTTATTCAAATTCAGCATCGTGTTTTGGTTAAGTGACTACTCAATAAAGCTAAGGAGAGTTCATTCATTTCTTTACTTCGAACATGCTTTATGGAATAATCAGTACAAAAGCATTCTGTCACCTCTCCCAGGTACCAACCTGAATGCCGAAAGGATTTTAATCAGTTGTAATATCTTTCTTGAGAAAAATGGTTCCTTCAACGCTGGTAAGCTGATAAGTTCAGATGCATTCTCATCTACAATCACAAAGACAGCGAACAAATAATGAGGCAAGCAATGACTTCTTTATCACGGCATTCACAAGAAAATAACAAAATGAAGTGTAGAATATCGTTAAAAGTTTCAACAAGTTGCAACTACGAAAAAGCATATGCAGTAATGGAAGAAAAAACTTAATTTTAAAGAAAACACACTATGTGTTCAAAAAAAAATGTGTTCCCAAAAAAAAAAACACACTATGATACCATGCCATCTTACCTTTAGCAACTTTAGAAGAAAGGGCTTCAGCAGCCAGAGAGAGATATGTGATACATATCTTTGACTTATTACTCTCTTCCAAAGGCTCTTGATGTACATTACGGTCACTGTTCAGTTGGATTCTAGCAGCCTATTATAAATGAAGAGGGAAACATTAGGAGGCCATAGCATGAATATAGACACATACGAGACAAACAAGAAACATCATAACGAGTATTATTTGGGCTAGAGGTAAAGTTTAAAAAATATTTTGTTATTAGATGGTCATCATAAATTAAAGAAAAATGCTAGGAAAATCGGAAATAATCCACAGTGTTCCCCGAGCATCCAACCGAAACCCTTAAACTCCTTTTCTGTTTCTCCCCTTTAGTACTCTTAAAGAATCTTATGCCAGTTCGATGTAACCTTAGACCTCGATCTAGTACACTACTAATGCAAAGTTGAAATTACTTGGCAGTTGTGATTATTTCTGTACCCTAAAGTATATCATCTGCTGCTTTGCAAAACATTGAAGAAACCAGATAATACAAGTAATCAATGCACAATGTTTCAGAAATAAAGACATCTGAAACCAAAACCTGAACATCGAATCTATAAATTGTTTAGTTTTACCTGTATTGCTCCCCAGAGGCCAAGATTCACCAGACTATATATGAGATTATCATGAGTTCTTTTCAGAAGCTTTTTCATGTTTAAGAGGACCTGTGTTTGATGGGTATCAATCTGCTGCTTAAGTGATGTCAAACACTGTTCATATCAGGAAAAAATATCAGTTCATGTATCCAGCAACGGTGACAAAACAGTTATGAGACACATTAGACAACCCGCTGTTTGATGTCCTCTAGCATGTTTTCATATATGTCGGTCGACTGAGATGCTTCACTCATAGATCTCTGATAATAATATACTTTGACTATAGGAGATGAAACAAAACCATCCAGCTGGACATTGCTTTCAACTGAGTAAACCTTTAAGTTCAGGTAAACAAAAAAGAAAATATTAAAACATTGTTCGGAAAGCAAACCGAGTGTAAGACCATTAGCATGATTTCAACCCTGAGAAAAATATTTTTCTTTAGATTTGCATCAATTGATTAGTTTGACACCATAATTTTGGCCGAGAAGATCCAAGCATTATCAGAACTTTTATTTCTACTCCGGTATCACTCAAGTCAACACAGTAACAGGGCTTACATATAAGCTTCCTCAATCATGTCTAGGAAAAATATGTTGCATACCGCAATTAGGGAATTTAAGAACCAGCATACCTTGGCATTGAGCAAATTTTCAAGGCTATTTATGCTTTTTGATAAATTCTCTGATTGAAAAGACCCTGAAAAGCAGTTAGAGCTGTCAAAAACTGGACTATGTTTAGAACGAATATGATCAAAGGTCGCAGCTGTTGGCAAGATCAGTAGACCCCCATAAACCTCATAACTTAAAGCGGAAAACGAAAGGAAAGTAACACAGGAGCTAATTCTCTTGCTTAATTTCTGCGGAACATATGTTCCTAATCAGGAATTAACATCACAAAAATGGAGCCTAACCTTTGCCAACAACTGGAGATGCAGTCATTCCAAAAATACGAGGTCCTTTTGCACATTCTGTTTTATAGAAAACCTGCATTTGCAACAAAGCGAATCCCCTAAAAGTTGGTTATATGTTAAAAATGTGTTCAGACACCACATACCAAGAATGTGGAGAAAAGATACCTTTAAGATTTGTGCATAAGGATGGTTGCTTTGTTCTTGAGCATGGTGACACTCATCCAATATTAGAAGGGAAATCCACTCCATCCTGATGAAACAGTGCTGTAAGTTATGCAGAAGTATTTGTGGGGTCATAACGAGAACCTGCAGGAAACAATCAGCCCCAATAACTTAATCTCATTGGTCAAAACGATGGTTACCACATAACAAAGTTGGGAAAAACAATCAACTTAATGAGACTTATAGCGTTAAAAGGATAAATTGAAAAGACGGAAAGCCATCACCTCATTCTCTGAAACCTCTCTCTCCCAATCAGAGTGGGTAGTCACAGTCCGATTGCCACCACAATGTGTTGCAACTTTGAAGTTGATAGACTTTGCTATGACTAACGCTTGCTGAGAAAACAAAACAAACTCAAGAGAGAGTTAGAACATGTGAACTTGAAGAAATAAACCAAAATCAATCAGCTCCATTAAAAAAAAAAACTATAAAATCAAGTGGTATATCCTCTCACCTGTTCAACCAAAGCCACAGTGGGAGCAAGAAAGATACAAACACTCTTCCTAGGGCTAAGAATCAAAGGTCCAAGCTCATAGATAACCATCACAGCAATATGAGTCTTCCCACAACCAGTTCCCAAATACACGATAACGTTCTCCTCCACTGCCTTCTCGCATAGCTCCAGCTGATACCTTCAACGCACACAAAAGATAACCAAACCAATAATGTCAGCACAATCAACAAAACAAACTCGTTTTTTCTCTTCAGCAATCAACACAATCTCATCAGATTTTATGTTTAATTTACTAGTCCGATAACCATACTCAGCTACAAACTTGAAATCTGAAAAGATACGAAAGTGTACGGAAAGTGTACGGAAAGCTAAACGTGAAAGCAAGCTAACGGAAGGTGAAATCGGGAAAAATCGAACCTCCTGGCGATTTTTCGAGGATCTTTCTCCATTTTGGCGGAGTGATCATCGGTCCAAGCGCCAGGCGCGGAGTAGGAGGAAGAGAAGGAGGAGGAAGAGGAGGAAGAAGCGAAGGAAGAGGAGAGGTTAGTGTCAGAAGCATCGTCGCCGATTTCACGGTCCGGCATGATTGAAGAAACTTGAGAGTGTGGCAGTGAGAATTTGAGATAGCTACTTTTTTTTTTTTTATTTGCTTTTTGTTTTCCCAGAGCTTTGCCTCCCCAATGAAGTTATTTGTTTTTCCTTTTTTTCTTTTCTTTCTCTTGGTCAAGCTGAGGGTCAACTGCTCCTCACACATTATTCATGATCGCACGTCTCCTGTCGAATGATTCCTCTCTTTTTCCTTCTTGTCGTCGTCTCTCCTTTCAAATGATTCGACTACACATTCGCAGATAATTTTGTTAGCTAATAAATTCAATTAACTAGAAGTTAGGACTAGACATTAAATTTAATTCGATTCATTATTTGCTTCAATTCGATTTGGAAAATTTGAATTTCCATAAATTATCAAAGCAAATCACATACTAAAATTCAATATCTTTTAAAATTAAATCAAATTATAAATACTACAAAAAATTAGAACCGGATATCGGGTATATCTTTGGAGCAAAACAAATCGAAAAATCAGATATTCGTAAAATTCGAAGAAAATCACAAATACTGAACAATTATAATACTACTCGAGCTGTGCTCATCCTTACTAGAAATATTTATCCTCTATTTTTTTGTAACTTATTTATCCTCATCTGCAACTTAAATTTCGGAAATTTTTGACCAAAACAAAAAATTCAGAAAATTAAAATCTAGAATATTTAATGTTGCTCTTATGCTTCTTTTTTGAACATTAATATTACTCTTATGCTGTTTTTTCGATTCGTTGCATACTATATCCCCTATATATTATTTGCAAAATAATTTATCATATGTTTTTTATACAATTATTTTTACAAAAAAAATGATGATAAAGTTACTAAGCTTGATGACATAATTTATATTTAAATATGACATGAATAAGTACGTTTATTGCTGATATATATTTTTGGTAAATTTTATAGAATATGACAATGACTGATACATTTCATTTAATATTGATTTATATTTTTGATAAACTTCTTAAAATCTGATAATAACTCATAAATCAAATCATCACTACAAATAAAATATTGAAATATGCATTATAAATTTTGAAATTTTATTTAATTGTAACTATACAATTTTTATTACTAATATTTCCAAAAAATTTACATCTTTTTAAAAGATTAATAAAATTTTAATCGTAATATTAATAGTTTCTTTTAGATATTGAAATTTTATAAATATTTTTAGTTATAATTTTCGAATTTTAAATATATTATATATATATAAATATATATATATTATTAAATATAATTTAAAATAAATATTAGTAAAAATAATATATTATTAATAGATTTAATTTTAAAAATGTTTAGCACGAAACTTTTGCATCTTTCTGGAGAAAACCGTGATCTCTTATTACTCTCTGGTTTGAATAGTAACATGGCAGCTACTGTTTAACAAATGATATGTTTTAGCCATCCATGCAATCCTCGTGGAGGAGGAAACTCCGCACAAAGCAAAAGTTGAGTCAAACTAAAATACAATTTATTGAAATTCTGCTGAAGACTATTAAAGATACAAAGAAAATATAAATATTTTTTTTTTATCAAAGAAGTTATATATATTAATTTACTAAAAAAACTTTTTTTTTCCAAAGAAAAAGTTACATTAAAGACCAATACAAACTTGAGAGATAAGACATATGCTGTTTGTCAAATAACAACGTAAATAAATAAACACTAGGTGTTTTGCCCGCACATGCGGGCTTAATAATTTTTAAACCAATTTATAAAAATCATCAAAATAAATGATTATTTGCATCCAAAAAATTCGACCTAAAACATTAAACTTTTTTACATGATAAAGTTATTCAAAATTAAAAAAAAAATATTTTTTCCTTTAAAACTTTGAAAAATCTAAATTCTATTTCATTTCTTCTTAATTGATAAAAATATAGAAATCTACCTTTCAATTCAAAAAATTGAATCCATAAATATACATTCAAAAATTGATCTTACAGAAAGAATAATATTAGTTTGGGTAATAATACAATATATATGAAATTATTTTTGTCAAACACGTTTTTTTTTTGAATAATTTTTATGTTATATGATTAATTCATCTTTAAAGTTTAACTATATATATAAAATATAAATATAAATTTAAATTTACTTTAATGTGTGAGTTCAGAGGCGAAAATAACTTCACAAATATATATATATATATATATTTATATATATATATATATCATTATGTTTTATTATTATATTTTTAGTTTAAAAATAGTTACGTATTCTATTTTTTTTTCAATTTTCTCTATTGAATTATATACAATTAAAATTTTTACTTTATGAATATTTATTTATGTGTTTCTGTTTTTCAATTTTTTTATTAAAATACATTTTTTGGATAAAAACACAATATATTTATAGGAATTATCTTTTTATAATATATATTTAGATTATGGATAATTCTTATCATTATTATTAATTTAAATCATTTATCTAATCAAATATGTATTAAATTCGTGTTTATTTTTGACTGATTAATATATTTTATTCATTAAGGGTATAAATTATATTACCCCTCCAACTTTTAATGTTGGAGCTCCATTGCGAAATGGGCTTAATAGATTAATAGAATGATATTTTCATCCAAAAAATTTAAAATCTATTTAAAAATCATCAAAATAAATGATATTTGCATCCAAAAAATTTAACCTAAAATATTAATTTTTTTTACATGATAAATTTATTCACAAATTAAAAAAAATATGCTTCTTCCTTTTAAACTTTAAAAAATCTAAAGTCTATTTCATTTCTTCTTAATTAATAAAAATATAGAAATCTATCTTTCAATTTAAAAAATTGAATCGATAAATATACATTCAAAAATTGATCTTACAAAAAGAATAATATTAGTTTAGATAATAATAAAATTAAAATTTATTTTTGCCAAACACTGTTTTTTGAATAATTTTTATTTTTTATGATAAATTAATGTTTAAGGATTACTTATATATAAAAATATACAAATAAATTTAATTTAACGTGTGAGCCTAGAGGCGAAAATAACTTCACAAATATATATATATATATATCATTATATTATATTATTATATTCTTTTCATTTGAAAATAATTACGTATTATAATTTTTTAAAATTTTTTATTTTCAATTATATACAACTAAAGTTTTTACTTAATTAATATTTATTTATGTGTTTTATGTTTTTGAAATTTTTTTATTAAATATTTTCCGGATAACAACACAATATATATAAGAATTATCTTTTTATTTTAAATATATATTTAGATTATGGATAATTCTTATCATTATTATTAATTTAAATCATTTATCTAATCAAATCTATACTATTATCTAATCATTTAAATATTAAATTCGTTTTTATTATTGGCTGATTTATATATTTATTTATTAAGGGTAATATCGATATTAACCGGTTTAACTTTTAACGTGAGAACTCCGTTGCGAAAAATCACTTCGCAAATAATAATATAGATTTTATAGATGTTGGCCAAATTCAATAAAAAAAGCCCAAAACAAACCGAAAGGAATTACATTTGTGAACCATGTCTTTTATGCAAGCTTCTAAATTGTTGACTTGTATATGCTTTGATATTTCATTCAAACTGCTCAAATGTACATCCAACTAAACTCATACTAGATGAACATTTTTTCTAAACATTGATGGTTCAAATCTAAACAACAAACACACAAAAAAAGGAATTTATGAGCAATTGAAGTGTCCACGGGATCTTCGTTTAATTTTGCTACATCTTCATCAACCTTACCTGATCAACGTACTGATCTTTTCCAGTTCAATTTGACACAATTTTAGATTGATCAAACGAACCGAATATATTAAACCAAACCAGCAAGCCTAGTTTGAACAACTAGTCAAATATTCTTCTTCTCAAACGGTTCAAAATTAGAAAAATGAACGGTGAGATTAGACTCTGACCGGTCTTGATTCCGTTTCATCTCCGAGTCAACAGCCATCGCAACATCATCAACCATCTTCTTCTTCCTCCTCTGATTATTACAATTATTATTATTATCCTCCAGAAAAACCCTAAAAAGCTTAACATCGAATCCAAAATCGCGATCCATCTTGTGGAAATCTAACGGAGAGAGAGGCGATGTCATCGGAGATCGAGGTGGTCGAAGAAGTCGAATCGAATCCCAAGGAGAACGGCGAATCAAGCTCCAAACCGATCGAAGACGAGAGTTTGAAGAACGATGTCTACACCGCCGCGGCGTATGGCGATTTAGAGAAGCTTCATAGATTGGTCGAGTGTGAAGGTTGCTCTGTTTCTGAGCCCGATGGTCTTGGCTACTATGCTCTTCAGTGGTCTGCTTTGAACAATCGCTCCGCCGTTGCTCAGTACATTATCGAGGTTACGAAAGTTCAATCCTTTTTCTGAATCTGGGATTTTTGTGTTGGTGTCTGTGGATTGTTAAGATTTAGGATTTGGGGGGGTTTTAACAGCATGGTGGAGATGTACATGCGACGGATCATACGGGACAGAGTGCGTTGCATTGGAGTGCTGTTCGTGGTGCGGTGCAAGTTGCTGAACTGTTGCTGCAGGAAGGTGCTAGGGTGGATGCTACAGATATGTATGGATATCAGGTTTAGCAGCTTCTCTTTTTTGACTAGTTAGTCTTTCTTAGTGGGGATTTTATGTTGTTTTTCAATGCTAGTTGCACATTGCTTCAGGCTGGTATTTAGGTTCTGTTACTATTTTTGGTTGCCATATTGTGCTTGAAGTAATGTAATTAATTCAGTACTTAGTAGTTTGGCAGTTATTTCAGTTAGGAAGATGAGTTCATGCTCAATCAACATTATGCATTTACATTATAAAATGGGTTGATCTAAGTACCTTGGAAAATGAATTTACTTTGTCTTGGAACGATATTGAGCGATCTCTGCTGTTTCCGTTGGTTTAGGAGATTGAAAAATCGAGGTCGTCTTATCCTCCAATTTTTTTTTAGCGAAGCATGGATTATTAAAGTTCTCCGCTGGAGCCAATCAAATAAGTGGATGCATATTAATATCCTTCTTAAACTATTTGCAGCCAACACATGTGGCAGCACAGTATGGCCAGACTGCTTTTCTCTGCCACGTTGTCTCAAAGTGGAATGCTGATCCTGATGTGCCCGATAATGATGGACGAAGCCCCTTGCACTGGTAAGTTTGCTGAATAGTGGAACACAAGCTTGCCTTGTTGAAGTTGTTACTTAGTGTATGGTGTTTGGCTTCTATTCATATTCACTTCGTAATGCTTAGGTTTGCTTGTTCATATGGAGACTGGATAGTTGATTTTAGGTTGTCCTAGTTACCAAATTAGTTTTTACTGGTTCTAAAGTTTCCTTTCATATGAATCTGTGAAGGAAATTTCTGTTTCCATTTAGAGATTAAAATTATATTGGTTTAATATTGTACGTAGCTATTCAGGAGACAGTTCTAATTGTCTTTCTTTTCTTCTCATGTTTTGATAAATTCAGGGCTGCATATAAAGGTTTTGCAGATTCTATTCGCCTTCTTTTATTTTTAGACGCATATAGAGGACGGCAGGACAAAGAAGGTGGCTTACATACATAAATTTTCTTTCACATCCTCCTCCTTTATTTAGTTAGATTAGCAAAACCAGATTTATCATCTTTTTTTTCCATTTTCTTGATTCTGTTATCAGGATGCACTCCTTTGCACTGGGCTGCCATTCGAGGTAATTTGGAGGCTTGCACTGTGTTGGTTCAGGCTGGGAAGAAAGAGGATTTGATGATTACTGACAACACTGGGCTTACACCGGCACAACTTGCTGCTGAAAAGAATCACCGACAAGTTTCTTTTTTCCTTGTAGGTATCCGTTTCACTTTTTTCTGTTGGCATCAACTCTTAGTTTTACTGTTTATTTGATGCTTTCCTAGTGACTGCTTACTGCTAGCAATATATTTGTAGTTGAATCATTCTATTGGCCTGATGTTTGTTGGCACTTGACATACCTGGAAACAAATTACTGTTTGTAGCTGTGCCATGTCAGTTTCTTAAAACCTGCACATATGTTTGTACATTCGAATGAACAGCATCATATTTGAAAATTTGAGAAGTTATTTCAAAGATTCTGTCTGAATATTTCTCTAATACACTTAATTTCAGGGTAATGCTAGAAGGCTGCTTGAAAAGCGATGTGACGGAAGCACTCCCCTTGGAAAATTGTCAAAGTTGGGACTTGCTCCGGTTCTTTGGTCCATGATCCTACTGCTTCTGCTCATATATACTAATTCTGTTATTTTGGGTAGTTACCTTTCCCTCCCCTCCTTTCATCTCTTTTGTGTGCAATATATCAAGTACCTATACTATACTTGCGTACTTATTATTTTATGCATCATTTGGTCATTGCAGCATCAAATCTGCCAAGGCTAACAACTGGGATTGGTTCGCTTGCATGGCTGGGCTTCATTCTTGCAACCGCAGGACTAGTTTTGTTATACCGTTGTAACAAGTAAATGCTCACCCCTTACTTTTATTTCTTCTAAAACCCTTTGCTTAGTTCAAAAATATATTTGTTCTGGGTTTCTTATCCTTTTTAAATTAAATGTTTTTTTTCAGGAAGGATCCAGGTTATATCAGGATGAATATCCATGATCCGCAAACCATGAAAGATGATGTTAGTACCATTAACTTTATTGGTTCTTAAGCTCCATATTTTATGATTACAGATAATCTCGAGTACAATTTTTCTGTTCAATATGCATTACAGGTTTTCTTACCCTTTTACAGGAACCACTGTTAAAAATAGAGCTAAACAACCCTGCTTTGCTTGCTGGGAATTGGACGCAGCTCTGTGCAACATGCAAGGTGCCTCCTCAACCTCCCTTTTATGTCCTGCTTATCAAACCATTATTGATGCACATCATGAAATTTATGTCTTCACGTCTACTTGTTTCTTTTTTGCTCAGATTATCAGACCTCTTCGAGCTAAGCACTGTTCCACATGTGATCGTTGTGTAGAGCAATTTGATCACCATTGTCCTTGGGTATCAAACTGTGTTGGAAAAGTAAGTACAGTTTCCATAGCACCAATTTGACATCAATTACTGTTCTTTCTCAAAGATGTTTGGCATAGAAATCAACAGAAATGTTACTTGGCGTCGCATTACCTCTTCTATTTTTTCTTTGGCCTGCTAGTGGTTTTAGCTTTTAGTTTTGTTCTTCGAACATTATACTAATCTGTGGATTGGGTTTGTTTTTCACTAATTACTTCTGCAGAAAAACAAGTGGGACTTTTTCCTTTTTCTTCTACTTGAAGTTTTAGCGATGCTGATAACTGGCGGAGTCACTCTTGCAAGTATGTTTGTAGTCGAACTTGCTTTTAAAAGCTTATCCTGAAATGTAAAAATCTGGAGAAAACATTCAGAAAAAAGTATAAACGATATATTATATCCATGCAGGAGTCTTGAGTGACCCTTCAGCTCCATCTTCGTTTGGAGCATGGATAAGCCATGTCGCCACTAATCATGTGGGTGCGTTATCCTTTCTGCTTGTTGAGTTCTGCCTCTTCTTTTCAGTTGCCGTCTTAACAGTCATACAGGGGTCTCAGGTGAATACGCAATCCCTTTTTCTTAGTTGCACATCTTTGTTCTCTTGTGATCTAAATGGTACGAAGACTGTTCTAACCTTCTTCTCTTCTCCGATTAATGAACTCTACTTTAGCTACAGAGGGAGCTAGAACTCACTAAGTAGACTAGAGATGATTAACCTATTTTCATGATGGGAAAGTTTTTCTTCATCCAATTTGAATCTCTGTCTCCTTGTCCTCTACAGATATCGAGAAATATAACAACAAACGAAATGGCTAATGCACTGCGCTACAGCTACCTAAGAGGTCCAGGAGGTCGGTTCAGGAATCCTTACGATCTCGGTTGCAGGAGAAACTGCTCAGATTTCTTGCTGAAAGGTTACAACGAAGATATTGAATGTCATGAAGAAGACACAACACCGAGACAAGAGGGCATCAGTATGATGCAGATGCAGCGGAGTTCAAATCTTCAAAACGGCAATGGCCACGTTGCTATCGATGTTAACTCAATACATAATTCGCAGTCAGGACATGTTCATTCTTCCAAGTGCAGCCATAGCCATAGCAGTAAGCCAAAGAGTGATAGTGTTCCTTTGGGGTTGGGACTTGGTCTTGGCCGGAACCCCACTCGACCTGTTGTACCTCCATGATGTGTACCCTCCCGAATGTTATTCAAATGTGCATTTTTGTTGTAAGAAACACGTGTGTCCTCTCATCGCGTCATTGTAACAGCCCATTTCTGGTGAAGATAGCAGTTTAAAAGAAATGGTTGTACGTTATTTATTTGAGTCGACTTATGGAAGCTTGTTATCCACAAGTAGTTTGATAATTCCTTGCTTTTTCATACCATAACCAACACTGCATTACAGATTATATATGTAAACAATAGACTACAACAGACTATCTCAAATGCCTCCACACCAAAATCTTGTTTAGGTCCCAAGCAGGGAAGTAAGAAAGAATGTTTCTTGCTTCACTAGTCGCCAAATCAACTGTGAACGTTACACTATGTGTGTATATGTTTCTTTCTGTTCTACAAAAATCTTAATATGAAATCTCCTGATGTTTTTAAACCCGACCCGGACATGAACCAGACGACTTACCGGGTCACTGGGTTACTGGGTCGACCGCGGGTGAACCGCGGGTTGATAAATAAAACTTTATTAATTATTATATAATAATTAATAATATATTAGCTATGAAAATAAAAATATATAAATTAAAGTTAAATATTTTCTAAATGTTTTTAGAACATAAAATGTATAAATATACAAAATATCAAAAACTAGTTTAGACTTTTTTTTTATAACAAGTTAAAAGGAATGACATCTAAAACAAATCAAGATATAAAATTTATAAATATTTAAATGTCTAAAATATTAAATTAAACTTCAAATTCAAAATAAACCAAAAGTAAAACATCACTGTAATAAATTGTCAATAACAAAAATAAACTAACACCAAATCACATAAACTAATCATTCATGAGTCCACAAAGAATAGAAAACATAGATAATAGAACTTAGAACTAGTAGACAGATTTATGATAATCAAAACAATCAAAAACCGAAAAAAAGAAGAAGAGCAAGGATATACAGAGCAGATTCGCAGGAGTGAGTAGAGAAAAAAAGAAGACGGCAACTAATATCCAAAACGTGAATGACCTAACTTTTAAATTTGAAATTTAGAATATAAAACAGAGTAAAAGTTAAAAACTAAAAAAAAAAAGTAAAAGTTTATTTATTGGTTTAACCGGTATCGGGTTTTGGGTTTTAGTGGGTTTTTCCGAGTTTTTGCGGGTTTTTTAATTTTGGGTTTTTAACAAAACCCGAACCGGATTTATTTTGGGTCACCGGGTTTACCGGTTCAACCGCGGGTCTGGGTCGGGTTTCAAAACACCCGCTGTACCACACAAGGCAAAACCTGCAAAGAGATATCTTTGTGGTTAGATGATGATGACTGAAAGCTAAAGTCGCATCCAGAATGTTAAAGCACTGTAGCAGTTGGTACACATAACAGTCAGGTAATTTATGACAGAGCATACGATCGATCTTGTTGAAAAATGTAACAGACAAAGCATAGTTTGGTCTGTTAAGTTATTTCAATATCTTGAACCAATGCACATAATCATAGATGAAAGAGAAGATCAGAGCTAACACTGGCCAACAACATTCTTAGTTCTTCTATGGCCAAAAGTTCTTTGAAATGAGGCTTTCTCATGTATGTACCTTAAAACAGAGCTTGATCAAGATAAAGACCAAAGTCACTTGTGTGCCACTTTAACCACGTTGGATTCCTGTATTTGACACATGAAAAATATGTTCAATCCTCCTCTTCAATATCTCCTCAAGCTGGTCTGAAGGGATCCCATTTCTCCATCGTTTTGCTTCAGATATATCGTTAAATATCTGTATTATCTCTTCCATGTGAAACCTCAGATCTGCCATAATGAACAAAGCATCATATTAAAATTTCATAGCCTATGTTGTTTCAAACTCTATCAAAGAAGCTAGATTACACAGTACCTTGTAAAGTATTGTCTACCACATTATCATCACTTATCAAGGCATCAACATCTTCCTTACAAGCTCCAGCTAACCCAAACATCTTCACTGCAGCTTCTAAATTCTCTTGGGAGGTTGGTAAGTCAAGTTTGTACTCCATGATTGATCTCTCATAAAGTAGAGCACATGATAAGACATCTAGCCAAGACTTTTTTAACTTTGCTGCTTCATCTGTTGGGCTAGCTTGATTTTTCAACCCTTCCATAGCTCTTTTGATGTTCCTTTCTGCACTTCGATAAAGCTGTACCACAGTTTCATATGGCCATGTTTTCAAATCAAGGTGTCTGACAATTACATAATACCATGAGAGTCTTGCTTCCTCAAACTGTTGGAGACCTAGAGCCATAAGTACTTCAAACAAATTTGGTTTTATTCGCATTGCCTCTTGGTACATCTCTTTTGCTTTCATTTGATCCCTTTGAGCGCATTGATAAGCAGCTTCAACTTGTTCGGAACCACCTCGTAGGAGGCTCAACCTTTTCCTTGCCCTTGTCATGTACACGTTTCCCAGCTTTAACAATGATCTTGCTGCCACTTCTTGGAACTGCTGAGCTGCTCTGTCGAAAGGCCCTTGAGCTTCATCAGAGGTTACCACCTCCTCCATAGCTTCTGAGTTCATTTTCATCCCAAGTTCTTGAAGATTCAAGCATGTATGAAAATCAACATTGGCCTTGATCTTGAAAAGCCTAGCAAACTCAACCATCCAGTCTTCAATTTTACACTTACCTTTACCATTTACCTTTGTTTTGAAAGAATCAGCTGTAGTTTTGAGCTTTTTCATCTCAACTAACCTTCCGTAAAAGGGATCCTGATCAGGACTCACTTCCATCACATAGAACCTCTTAGTCTCCAGTGACCTTTCTGCTGATACCTCACTCATTCTCAGCTCTTCATCTGTTGTGATTGTCACCAAATCTCCTTCTTGGTCCTTGTACTTTATATGAACAGCTCTTAAGTTTGGGAAACGCTCATGAACAACCTCCCTAAGCTGAAAGAGAGTGCAGTTTAAAGGCAACTCAGCTATTCTAATGTCCTCAGAATACACAAACTTCACATCTCTGATACTTTTATCCTCAATTATAACTTTCTCCTCTTGTTTCCCTTTCACTTTCTTTTTACTCTGCTTATCAATAATCTTTTCTTTGCCCTTTTCAGATTCAAGATTGTTGTTCTTCTCTAGCACTTGCTTGCTCTTTTTGTTCTTCTTCCCTCTCTCCTTAAGTTCTTCAGCCCACAGCACAGGAGAAACCTCAATAGGTTCAACGTAATCCGGAGACAGCTCAATCACTGAATCATCATTGACCCTTAACCCTTTGCTCTCTAAAGTCTTCCTAAGCTTCTCAGCAATCTCTGAGGCCATGGGATTGTTTGGATCAAGTTTAGAAACCATACAAACATCTCTCAAAGCCAAATCTAATTTATTCAAAACCTCATAGCATCTTGCTCTCTTCAACAATGCCTTGGTGTGATCAGGAGTGATACTAAGTGCTAAATCACATTCATAGATAGCTTTGGTATACTCTCCTGGTTCTGAATGCATATAACATGAAGCCATGTTGGACTGAATATGAGAAACCTCTACATGATCCTTAGGAAGTAACTTGATAGCTTCCGTATATCTAAGCATTGCAGCTTCAAAATCTCTCTTCTGAAAAAACTTGTTACCTTCTTCCTTAAGTGTTTGTGCTTTTGAAGCAGAAGCTAGAGCTTCAACCTTTGAATTATCAATTTGACTTTGGCTTGTTTCTGGTTCTAACTTTTTCTTTAGCTTCTCCATGTCAACTCTTAGAAGCAAAAAAATACAAAGAGAAGATTCCAAAGAGTTGTACTAAAACAACTAACTCCACAGCCACAGGTATGGCAAATGGGATGATAAATAAATGTGAAACAAGTTCTTATCGGGAAAGAGATATGAAAATTTCCGGGAAAAGGAAGATATGGTAGGAAGAAGAAGAAGAAGTGATGAAAAGAAGATTATGAGGAGACTACACCATGTGGCTCTGTACATGTGTCAGGAGATAGCTTTGTCTAAAAGACACGACAAAGGGTGAAATGGTAGAGCCAACCTTATAATATTCATTCAATTTAGTTTTATATCTTATTCTGAAATTAATTAAATTCGAAAGGAAGAAGAAAGAACCAAATCGTCCGAAAAGGAAAAGGAAACAGAATATATGAAAGTAATCGAATCGAATCATCCAAACTTGCTGACACATGTTGATAAGTACTTTTTGGAGAAGTACTTTTACTTTTGGACTTTACGGACTAGACCCTTTAATCCGGATTTCGGTCTGGTTTTGTTTTGGTTTGTTTTTATTTTATTTTCGGGTTTATACAAAATAGTTATCATAGTAAAATCATATCTAATTTGGTTTAGTTCGGTTTTATACTACTTTTTCAGTTTATTTGGTTTTATACCATATATATTATTATTTGGTTTTAATATGGTCATGATAAAATTGATGTATATAGAACTTATATATTAGGTTGTTGATTCGTAATTTGACAATGAGCATTTTTTGAATTCTGTTCAACAACATTCTATATGGATTAGATTAAAAAAAATTTTGATAGTAAACAATTTAGAAAATCAAAACATAAGTTGAACAAATAGAAAAATGAAGGAAAACATAAGAAAAAAAGAAGGAAACAAGTTTTTCTTGTTGAAATAACCAACATCATTTGAAGAAACTTGATAAGATTAAAAATTTGGTGATTCTCTTGTGTATTTGGAAGTTCATATGCAATTTTTTATAACCAGATATATGCAATGAAAGTTATGTATAACTCATATATTGTTATGTATAATGAAAGCAATATGAAAATTGATCAGTAATTTTGATGTTGAAAGAAATTCTTATACGATATGATCATGATAAATATATATACAGATTTAGATTGTTGATGATCTGCAAATAATCATCTTTCAATTCAACAAACATGAGATTTTATATTGTAGACAATGATCCAATCATGTGCGAAAAAATGTTCTAAAAGAGAGTAAATTGGATATAAAAATTAAATATCATCTAACCAAATATTTAGTCTGCAACAAATTAATGATACATTCAAAACATAACTTTTTCTTTGTAATGAAACACACAATTGATGGTAGATTCTCATGTACCGGTTTTGTGCAAACTAGATACACAAAAGCATGATCATAAATCAAGACTTTACATGTGCATAAATATTAGAAGTATAAATGTACCAAATATAACTTTATTTTAATAAGAAGTATGTAACAAAGATAACTTTATTTTAGTAAAAAAAATGAGATAAACATTAAAGTTTATATAAAACAAAGAACAACACATTAGATTAAAACAATATGTTACTCGTAGTGGTGACTGAGGTAAATCATCTTGTTGGAGAAGATCTTACTGTGCTTTTCGTTTATCTGCCGCGTTATATTTATAAGGATTTATGTCTTTGTATTTCTTGCCTCCTCGAGCTCATGTATCACCCGATCCTCCTCCATCTATTTTCTGAAAAATTCCAATCTATAACTTTTCAATGTGTGACCAAATTTTTTTTAAGAAATAAAACTCATTTTCGTGAGAAAATTGTCTAATGAGAACAACTTTAGCAAAAAAATATAACACATATTACAAAGATATTCCCAATTTTTTTGTTGAAGAAATAATACAACAGAAGAAGACGAGAAGAGATCCAGTCTTACGAAACATCAAGGATGGAAACAAAAATCATAGATCTTAGATACCAAAATTTATCAGAACTTCTCGAAGTAAATTATATACCAAAATTTCCAAAGAAACCTAAACCAACTTGAAAATATCGAATCAAGCTTTCATCTAAAGGTGTTATCTGAAAATAAAGACCCAAAGCAAAAATAAAAATAAGTTTTCACAGTTATATAGGTGTTAAGTTTAATAGAATTTGTTTATATGTTGTTGGGTGGACACAAGCCGAGTACTTGTCATTTTTGGTGTACTTTGTATTTGGTTTGGCTTATTCGAATAATACAAATCTGGATTTATATTTGGTTTATTAAAAACGAATACTTGCACTTTCAATTACTTGCTAAAAAATGGTATACTTGCAAGTACTTGCTCTGTTTTACTATTTGTTGCTTCTGAACTAATTTATAAATTATTATATAATTATTTGTAAATTTTTTAATAATAGTTTATTTATTTTAGCTACAATCCTTGTATATGAATTTAAGAAATGAGTTAGTTGTAATTATAATCTAAATAATTTTTAATAAATAATATTTATTTACTTTTCATATGTTTTAAATCGATCTATGATAAATATAAAATTAAAAAACTCTAAAATATTTTTATAATATATCACTTTTAATTCATTTATTTTATAAACAAGTAATTTGATTATAATTTAGATATTTTTTGTCTAAAAATAAAAAATGGGTAGTAAATCAAGTAATAAGTTACGAGTAACAAACCAACGATGCCAAGTAGTTATTTTCATTTTAGTAATTGATACTTGTCTTGTATTTGCAAGTAATTGAAATAAACGACTTGATACTCAACTTGAACAAAACGAATACTCAATATTAAGAACCAAGTACGAATCAAGTAGCGAGTAGTAAGTAATTGTGCCGACCCCTACACCAGTTTGTTGCACGTATCTCCATACCCCATAGCAAAATAGGAGAAACGTTTTACCATAATCCTTTGTGTCTTTGAAGAACTGGTTTGAGTTTTGACCTTAAGTTCTTTCTTATCGTAATTTGTGCATAAGTTCTAGTACCATGACTATACTTTTTGCTCTTAATTAGCTCTCCATGTATACAGCCAGACTCAAACATAAATGAGCCCTATGCTAAAAGAGATTTGAGACTCATTTTCTCATACAAAATATTTTTTTTTAAAGAAGAATTGAGCCTTTATATCTAAGCGAAATTGCGAAAAAGTTGAGAAAAATACAAGAGTCATGTCCAAATGCACTTCCAGCAAGTCCTATAAAAACTACTACTAGTATACCTGTGACTCAAGTTCTAGTGTACAGATCTATCTACTATACCCTCAAATCTCAATAAGGTTACAAAAGCTTATCATAATATACGTATCCGAGACAGTGAGGTACAATTCTCAGTATCTTTTAATTCCTTTCTGTGTATATAATAGTGGAAAGAAAATATTTACTTATGGCCTCGCATTGCATAAACGAAAATGGAAACTCCATCCCAAATATTAATCGTTCATACTTATGTCCGTTTAGTTATGATCCCCACCAATAATAATTAAAGAAAAAAAATAATGCTACTGACTACAATAATCGAACCCTAGATTTAACGCGCCAAGGAAAACAAAAACATAACTTCCTTGTTCCGCACGAAACAAAAAATTTTCTTTTTTGTTAATCTTGATCATTACGCAATGCGTAGAACCGGCTACGACGTGGCCGTGGCCTATACTTACAACGGAAACGAGGAGACAACGGTTTAACCAAACTCTCCTTCAAATACTTCCTACATCTCTCCGCCTCCACACTCCCAATCCCCGCCAACGAATTCATCAACGCCGTTTTCCTCAGATTCAATCCCGAATCACTCGTCGTGGGACAACACCTTCTCCTCCGCTTCAGCCTCAAACCTAGAATTCCGATCTTCTTATCCGATCCAGAACTACTACTACTACTCGTCGTCGTGGTGATACTAGACCTACTTCGCTTCGGCTTCGAAGCTAGGGTTTCGATGTTCTCGTTTGTTGATACGCGGTGAGATTCGCATCGGAAAGGTCTAGGATGCGTCGTGGGGGTGCACAGAGGACACTTTCGTCTTTTCCTTGTAGATAAAAGGGAGGTGGTGGTGGTGGAAGGTCTCTTTAAATGGAGGATGAGATTCTCTAATCTCTGTAGGGAAGGAGAGAGAGGTCGGAGGTCGACGACTGATGAAGCGCTTGATGATGTTTCAGTAGCCGCCGCCATCACTGCATTTTAGAGAGAGAAAGTAAGCAGAGGAGTTAGAGAGAGAGAGATGAGGTTGTTAATAACTAACTATAAATGGGGTTCTTGTTGGAGATACCGGTTGATTCGGATCCTCTATTTATGGGAGGTTTTACGCAGCGATATCTAGCGGTTTGCATATCGTGAAAGTGTCAAAATGTAAAGTTTAAATAAATGATATTAAATGCTTTTTTTTTCCTTTTCTTTTTCTTTTTTTGTTTGACCTCGTGTAATTTTCCAATTAACAAATACCAAAGCTTTATAATATCAATGTTTTAAAACAATTCTCTCAAATATTTTTTTAAAAGTTTTTATCACAAAAATAAAATTCAAAAACTAAAATGATCAAATATTATTTTTTATTTTGAAAATTTTAATTATTTTTTAATTTGAAATTCTATCCTCGAAACCTCATTTCTCAACTCTAAACAAAAAAGTTTAGGGTTAGTTAAACCACGGTATAAGTGTATATTTACTTATTTTTGATAAAATTTGTTTTGGTGAATTTTATTTTTAAGGCTTATATTCGTTACAAAATTTTTTTTTAGGTCTATCTTAAAAAAAATTTCATTTTTTCAAAGAAAGGTTAAATTATATTCCAATTTATTAGTATCGATTTTTTTTTTCTCCTTTTAAACCGCAAATCCCATATTCATTTTCGATTTCTTCCAATACTCCAATATATTATCCAAATATTTGTTTTCCTCCATCTAGAGTTATTGCACAAATATCTATGATGATCCAAAATGTATTTGTTGAGAAGATTATTGCTCAGGAAACCTTTTCTCGATTTGACCAATTCAACCTATCTAAAATAAAAATATGGGATATTTAAGAATATAGTATTCAAGAAATGAAATATGGTATGTTTGAAAAAGTCATGCACCAATATCTATTTACCGAAGTATTACCGCACTACTTATGATTTATTTTTGCTTAGAGCGCACGCATATACCATAAGCAACTTCATTATAATAAAATGTTACATTTGCAAACTGCAACTATGAAATAACCAGGATAGGGCAGTGAACAAAATTTACCACTGCTCTCTGACTCTTCCTCTTTTTGTTTTTGTTTACTTTTTGACAACGGACAAAGTTTACCATTTCTTTAACCTATACATCACCAAAGTTTTACCATTTCTTTGACCTATACATCAACAAAACTTATGAATCACGGCTCCTTAGTGAACTTCTGAGGCTTACTGCTTGCAAATGCCAACCATACAACCGTCCCCGTCAAGTAGAAGAAAATTGATGGCACAAACAGAGAAAGCTACACGATCATCAGTAACCTTTGAGTAAGTAATTAATAAAGCACCGAACATCATTGGGGTAAGAGTTAGCAACTTACAGTCCATGAATGAGTTGAGTCGAGGAGAAAACCAGTTAGGGCCACACCTACGATTCCAGGTACTGCCCCCACTGTGTTGGTAATGCCCTGAAGAAGAAAAAGATGTTTAGAAAGAATCTATATCTTCATACCCAAATATAATCTCATTAACTCATTGCCATCAAACGCATGGATCTGAGATCATCTCGTTATAATCATAGAGAAACAGACTAGGACCATAACATTGGTTCAAACACAATATAAACTCTTCTTTTGTTTCAGTTTTACCCATTAAAAAATGGTACCTAATGTTAGCTCACATATATTAGGAGTACTTGAGGAAAGGGAAAGTAAGAAGAGTTTTAGAACCAAATGTACCAGTAATATGCTTGCATATTCGGGTGATATGTCCTGATGAGTACAATAAAGTCCTGCAAAAAAAGAAACAGTGTTTGTCAAGTCTGTACAATAAACTTCTTCGGTTGCATCTTATCTGTAACATGTTACTTGAAGATTCTTGATAGAAGATAGAAAAATAGTAGATCTTTAGGTACCTGATAATGCAAAACTAGATAAGGCCAAGCCTGCTGTCAAGATTCCTGCAATTTCCCATGGTGGCAATCCAATGTCTACTGATGAAAGTGTCATGCAGATCGCTGGTGCCAAGAACGCAATCGTTTGACAAATCTTTCGGACCTACATTGGAAATTTCCAAAGGAGTTTGCATATCAAAGCGAAGACAGGTTGGTCTAGATAAGTAAGTAACCATTGGTGAAAACTGACAAAGTGGAACAACTTCAAAAGTGATGAAACGTACACAAGGAGAAAAGATGTGATTTTATACCGTGGTAGTCTCAACTCCATTTGAGATCAGGTAGTCAGCAAATTGTGAAGCAAGGCTTGTCACGAAAATCGAAGCCAAAGGAGGAAGGATGGAAACCTGATCTTCACACCCACATATTAAATTCCAAATGTTATACCCATATGTCCACGTAACTAAGCGTGTAAGAAAATTCATTAAAGCATGTCATAACACTACTGCTTAGTGACAAAGATCAGTAAAAGCTGTGTTGTTGATGTTTCCAAGTAACTCGATCTCAAGGAAACGAACAGAAGCAACACATCATTCTCTTTAAGAGGCAACCCTATAGATGACCAAAATCTGATAGACATACCAATTACCAACACTTAAGCTCAAAGCTATAATATGCACAATAAAGCACAACTTTCTGGACACTTCATTGTGGTCATTGGAGGGAAGATAAAGTTTTAATTTTCCTGACAAGCTTTCTAAGAAGTAAAGAAGCATAAGAAAGATGATCCTATTTAACATGCAAGTCATATTAAAACTAGCATTTTGAAAAAAATCTAATCACCGCAACGCCTGCTTATCAGACCCACAATGAGCCAGGGAAAACAATGTATATTGTCTGCCACACGACGCTAAAATGTTTTTTTCTTTTGTTAAATGCAATGCATAACACAGGCTGAATACTTCATACAAAACAATGCAAGCTGCACTGATATTCCAATGTTAAAGGGAAAACACAATTTAAAAGACAATTCTAAACTTACCCAAGCAGCGTCTCTCAAATTTAGACTCAGCGCCTCACTGCATACCAAAAAACACGGTCAAAACTACTCTTTATCAAAATGATACAGAGTGAAAGATGAGTAATGAAGCTGCAACATAAATCAAGCATCAAGCAGGTCTTTATATGAGAACAGCTGAATAGCCCAGTAAAAGGGAACTAGGTAAACAGGTAGAACAGTGAGCACGCAATTACCTGAAATAAGTCGGTAGCCAAGATAGACATGTATAGTGACCCCAGCTTCCACAAAAGTGAGTGTATATCATTGCCCAAACAGCTGGGCTTTGGAAAAATGACTTCCATGGAATCTCCTGCGGAAAAAATGATGCATTGACTTAAAGCAAATGAAAAGGTTTTGAGGTTTTTAAAAGCATTTGTTTGTAGGTCATTTTTGGCACCGTTTAAGGAGACATGTTTAAATAACCAAGTGAGTGAACATGAATAAAAATAGCCTAACGTTATATCAATTCGAAATGAAAATATAAGAACAAAGCCAAACGAATACAAAATATTGAATAAACTAACCTTCAATGAGTCCCCCAATTCTTCTCGTGTAGCTTTCTTTGGTTTATGCGAAGTAGTGGTCCCATCACCTATCAAACAAAGGGCAGTCCTGATTGTAAATATTGTTCAAGTCCATGATCCAAAGCATTGATTGAGTGTAGTCATAAACACCAAAAGGTGACTTGTTCACATGTACATTCTAAGAATGCTTTTCATCCCTGATATAGTAACTTCTCCAGTTCGGAATGATATGAACTTAGTAGTACGTTAGAGAAGGATTTACAATTAATTCTCATCTCTTACACTTCTCTTACACATTAATAATGAAACGACTTTAGTATGGCTTGGGCACTAGAAGTCATGAAAAAAGCTACACGGTAAATGAATGTGTAATAAAAATCAAACTACGTGACATCTAAGTTCCCTGGATAGATTCATACTCAAACAAAAGATAGTACTTCGATGACATATATTCAAGATTAGGAATTTGAATAAGGAAAAGGAAGGAGAAAGCACCTCTATGTGAAACTTCTTCTTCTTTAAGAAACTGAAACCCAATGAACCTTCAATATATAGGGTACAAAGTCAGAATACAGAAATACTAAAAGTACCATGTTGGCATCTCATTTGACATCCTTTTCAGCTGAATGCAGGTTAAGATGATATATCCAAAACATCAGACAACAACGTTGTGAAAGTGTTTTCTCGGCACTCGAAAGAGACTTACCAGCCAACACCAAGGAGACCAAACAGGTAAAAGACAGATTCCCAATTAAAGCTTTGGATAATGGGAGGAGCCAATAGAAGCCTGCGGAGGTAATATTAACCAAATAGAAACAATGAAAAAACAAAACCACATATTTGTAACTTTCACAATTTTAAGTATGACATCAAGAGAACCATTACCCCAGAACACTTCCCAAACTCAATCCTCCAAAAACAAAGCCTACTGCCCTTGAGCGCTCACCAACAGGTATCGTCCTGTACTCAGAAGTTGAATGGCACAATTAGGATATTTTTTTAAAAAAATGGGGATAAAAGGTATAAAACTATATACTCTCAGCCAGAATTTCAAGCTTAAAGCGACTAAATGGCATGAATACGTAATTTCATCTGTAGTAAGAAAGTGTCGAGTTGTTGGATATTGATTTGCCCATGGGCTATGTTATGTATGAACATGCTACTACCTATAAAAACAGATAGATTGTAGTAGGTTCTCATCTAGATCAAGAACTAATATCGAAAGACAAGGCTGCATAAGCAGTTAAACCATATCATCTAATATTCATGTATGAGCACTCTTCAAATTTGCTCCAGAATAGTACATGCCTGGCAATAAGGTCCGTTGCAGCCGACGGGGAAACACCTTCTCCTATTCCCACCTAAAGTTACAAATCTCTGTGTTAAGGCAAAGACATAATGTAAGGCTAGAGCAGGGTAGGGGACAGAGAACGTAAGAGCTGAAGAGATGTTTATGACTAAGGATTGTGTAACAAGACCATGACTCTCTACAAGAAACAAGACATAAAGATATGAATCTACATACCAAAATTCGAGAAAAGATTAACCCGGGCATAAATCCAGCAAGTAGTGGAACAAGTGCTGTAGCGAATGACCATGTAAATACACCAATCTCCAACACCTTTCTGCATTAGAGAAAATGAAGGATACTTTGAATAAAATGATGCATAAAGCAAGAGCAAGAGCAAGAGCAGCCCTGAGGAAGAGAGGTTAGGAAAAAAAAAAGACAAACCTGCCGCCAAAAATCTTGGAAAGCCAACCTCCAGGCAACTGGCTCAAAGCATAACCCCAAAAGAAAGATGACTGTACCAAGCCAGCCACAGATGAACTCCATCCAAACTGGTGTGACATTGGTATTATAGCAATACTCAAATTCACCTACAAAGATTCTCACCACACACTTATAGTTAGTTAACTAATCATCTCCATCTAACAGCAAGCAACCTAAACCATATACCCAATAGTAAAAATCAAAACTTTATTCAAAATTCAACCAAGAAAATCACCTTATCCATATTGCAGATAACAAAGGCGATGGAAGTAGCACCGATAAGCTTATATCTCTCAGGTATGTTTTTCCACGGAGGCCAATTCTGTTCTAAACCCGTTTCAGTGGTCAGAGCTTCGGAATCAGAACCAGGATTTGGAAGCTGGGGAAGGTCTTCTTTGATAGGGGAGTTGGGAAGCTTCTTGCTTTCTCTGACACGTTCAGTGCCACTGGCTGAGCACTTAACCCTTGATTTAATGTGGGGGAAGGAGCGAGTGGTGATGGTGTAGACGGAGAGGAAAGGCTGTTTGTGTGTGTGGATGGGTGAGGGGAAGAATTGGTTGTCTGGTCTCAAGGGAAGAAGCCTCGCCATTTTTGGGGTGTCAGAGAGAGATTGGACAAGAAGAGGAAGTAAAATTTGGGAATGAAGAAGAAGAGGGAGAGAGGAGGACACGGTGGAGAAATATTAAGAGCTATGTGTGGCTTGCGGTGGAGAGAAGGGAACTTGTCTTCAAAAATGTGGGTCCCGCTTCGGTATCAAAAGCTTCCCTTTGCGTGACTCTCGTAAACTACTTCGAAGTCAGCATCTTTCTTCCAAACATATGGTCAGAGACTTTAGTAACGAGGATTTTGTCCAAACCGAACTGAACCCCGAAATTTTTGGTTTTGTTATTCGGTTTTAGTTTTGGTTTTGGTATAAGTTCGGTAATGATTCAGTAGGGTTTTGAAAAAAAAAGATTTTGTTCGTTTTTTTTTGTTTCTAAATCATAAATAACCGAAATTAACCAAAATAACTGAATTGAGCTAATCGTTACTGTATTTAAAGGAAAACTGAATTTAACCGATATATCCAAAATTTTAGAATACTATACTGAATTCTAGCCGAAAACAAAGAAAAAAGTTATTCAGAAATAAAACTACAATCAGTAATGAACCTATAACAAACCAAACCAAATCATTTTTCGGTGTACTTTGGTGGGATTGCGGATGAACTGAATAAACCAAATTGAAAATAACCAATCAAAAATAACCAAATAAACAGAAAGAAACAGCAGGCCAAGTAAGGAGTTGTTTAGAGATTTTTGAGTCAGCGAGCTATTTATCCACAAGAACTATCATATAGTATCATATATCTACTAAACTATGCCTCGTACAAATTTATTTCTCCCTAGATCAATAGTTCGAAACTTAATTACCGATATACTATACTTTTTATTTGTTAATTGTTAATCATATAACTTAAACCAATTAAAGAAGTCAATAATCTAATTGTTATACAAAAATGAAATGTTCATAAACTATTCAAACTCCACATTATCTATATCATCAAAGAAATTTTGAAAATGTCATATTTCAGACAACTTCTTTTTTTGATAAAATTTAATTTTTATTTGGTTTTAAAATGGTTTGGTTGACAATAATCTGATTAGACCATTGTTTATGTGTAATTAAGTTCCAAACTATTAGTTTGGGAAGAAATAAATTTCGAATTATAGATTCGGAAAGAAATAAATTAATAATTTATAATTTGGGGAGATATGACACAAGGTGATAATTCGATGGATATTTGAAGCTATATGACAATTTTGGTGGAATATCACGTTTACCCGAGATTTTTTTAAGTAAAACATAACTGGAAAATGACATTGTTTGCTAAGAGCATCTCCAAAACTCTTTAATTTTAAGGTTTGAGCAAAACTTTAAAATAATATTTTTGGGTCTTATTCTCCAAAAGCAAAACCTTATAATAAATTTTAATTTTTTTTATTTTACATAACAATCTTTATATTTAATAAAACAACTAATAGTATAAATATTTTATAATAACTATAAAATATCCAACAAAATTATTATAAAACAAAATTAATAAAAAATATATTATATTATACTAAAGGATTAATATAAATAAAAACATACAAAGTAAATCATGAAATTTAAACAAATTACATATCTATTCATTATAATTAGCTCCATAATGATCTCATATATGATCAATTAAGGTATTTTAAAGTGATAAATGAGCATTTTTATCTTTTATTTGAAGATTACGAACTAAAAAGTTTTGAAAACGAGCATTCTCTTTTATTGTCATTTCGACTTATGTCACTGGCGCTGATCTTGAATCTCTAATTGGTTTATTGATATCACGTTCATTTTCAATAATCATGTTATATGTTTATTACTGTGTGTTTGTATTTTGAATTTCTTGTATTTTATATGCTGTAATATTATTTTGTATGATATATATTGCAGTTAATTAAATATTTTCTATTAGAAAGGACTAAAATGATTAAATTAAAATGTTATTGACCGTATTTGAAAGTTATACAAGTAAAATGAATTTTAAATATAAAGTTTTATATAGTGAAACTTTATATTTGAGATTTCATTATACAAAATCTAAAAATATAAAGTTTTAAGGTTGCTTTTACAGTACACAAAACCTTTTACTTGAAGTTATAAAGGAGTTTCAGAGATTCAGAGATGTTATAAGAAAAACCAAGTTTTTGAAATTCGTGTTCTGCGTACTAAATTAAATATTATCTTTTCTTTGGAGCAAGTGACAAAGTCAAGATCTGTCATCTTGTCTATTACATAAGCTCTTCTTTGGTCTCTCAACATGCTACACCGAACAAAGATTGACTTCCTCGCAATTCGCAAACCAGTAAAGCAGCATATGGAGAAGCCAAAGTTCAAAACCGTTCAAGAAGTGATTGCATCCGATGAAGGACTACCTGAAAGATATCTCCACACACCCACCGTGGATACCGAAAGTCAACCTCTTGACGCTCCCGTGCCGGAGATGGATATTCCAGCCATCGATCTCAGTCTTCTCCTCTCTTCTTCTTCTGAACACGGTCAACAAGAGTTGAGAAAGCTTCACTCTGCGCTCTCTACATGGGGCGTTGTTCAGGTTTGACTCTTTTTCAAGTGATGATACAAAATATGTAGTAACTCGTAAGTTCTGATTTGTTAACTGAAGCAGGTGATGAATCATGGAATGACAGATGCGTTTCTTGACAAGATCTATGAGCTGACCAAGAAGTTCTTTGCACTTCCGACAGAAGAGAAGCAAAAGTATGCTAGAGAGATTGGTAGTATCCAAGGATATGGTAACGACATGATTCTGTCTGATGATCAAGTTCTTGATTGGATTGACCGTTTGTATCTCACTACTTACCCTGAAGATCAACGTAAACTTCACTTCTGGCCTGAGATCCCACTTGGGTTCAGGTAAAAAAAAAATCATACTGTTTCAATCTCAACAGCATCTTGGTTATATTGACTTTGGTGATTTTTTTCAGGGAAACTTTATATGAGTATACAGTGAAGCAACAAGTAGTGATTGAGCAGTTTTTTAAAGCCATGGCTAGATCTTTGGAGCTAGATGAGAATTGCTTTCTAGACATGTATGGAGAAAATGCTATGATGGATACAAGATTCAACTTGTATCCTCCATGTCCAAGACCAGATAAGGTTATTGGTGTCAAACCACATGCTGATGGTTCTGCTTTTACTCTTCTCTTACCTGACAAAGATGTTGAAGGGCTTCAGTTCTTGAAAGATGGCAAGTGGTATAAAGCTCCTATTGTTCCTGATACAATTCTGATCAATGTTGGAGATCAGATAGAGGTAAGGTTTCATTTTATAAAATGCAAATGGTTGGATTTGAAGATAAGTGTAGAATTTGAGATAATCTCTTGTTTGGTGTTTAGATAATGAGCAATGGGATATACAAGAGTCCTGTTCATAGAGTGGTGACTAACAGAGAGAAGGAGAGGATATCTGTGGCAACGTTTTGTATTCCGGGTGCTGACCAAGAGATTCAACCCGTAGAGGCGCTTGTGACTGAGACAAGACCAAGATTGTATAAGACAGTTAAGAAGTATGTTGCGCTCTACTTTGATTACTATCAACAGGGTCGAAGACCGATCGAAGCTGCTTTGATCTGATTATACTTTTCAAGTCTTGTTCTAATGTTAAAAAAAAAGAAGTCATGTTCTTGGTTTCACAAATGAATATGTTTCTTTCATGACTTGATCACTAAAGAGAATAATACCGTTGCTTTGTTGTTTTGGAACTGTGAGGCTGCATTGTGTTGTGTTTGCTACTCGTGAGAATATCATGAAGTCTGAAGTTCATCTTCACAGAACACACTAAGGTCTTAAATGAGAGTGAGATTTATATGTGATTGCATTCTTGAGTTAATCTTGAAAAATATTTCACGTTTTTTTTTTAAACACAAACTCACTGCTTTTACTGCTAAAACTGTAAAAATGTTACTTTGTAAATTTTGTGATTAAAGATTGAATTTTTTTGTTATAAGAAGATATAAATGATCATAAAATTCCATATGAATATGAAATGTTAATAAATATATATTAATATATATATACGTTCAAATTAAAATATATATCATATAAAAAATACATGTATGTTAATTTCAAAATTTTCGTTAAAAGGTATTGAGACCTTAATATTTTAGTTTAAAAATTTGAATAGATTTTTAAATGACTATAAATTATTAAAATTATTAAAAATCTCACATTATTTTTTTATTAATGGTTTAAATTACTTGTTAGCAAAATATAAAAATGGTAGTAAAATCCTACAAGTAGGAAACCTCAATTAATAAATATAGATACGAAAATATGTTATATATCTATATCAATATCAATTAAATTTAATTATATATTATATAAAATAAATCAAAATTTGTATATAAAAAAGGGATTGTTTTGATTTATGTGCTTATTTCAATGTTCAGCATCTTTCCTCCGAACATATGGTGAGACTTTATGTAATGAGAAAAAAGTATAAACTTCGGTTGATGGTCACGTTTTACGATTTGATCAAGTGGTTTAGAGATTTTTCAGACAGAAGAGATGACATTGTTTGGTAAAAACAGTGTTACCAAAAGGGTGTTTTTTTTTTTTTTTTTTTTTTTGTATCTGGCCTTCTGCTTCTGTGTAGAAAAATTGTATTATCTTTTGAGTAAGAGAAACAAGTACAATTTTATTCGTTAAATTTCATTTGATTTATGATTCATGTCGATTCGATCTGAAAAATTCGAATATTCGTAAGTTTTCGAAGTAAAGCAAATATTAAAAATTAATATTCATTAATACAGAGCAAATTACAAATATTAAAATTCTAGAAGTGGATATCCGATCTGCTCTGACTTTTATACAAACAAATATATATCTACAATTAAATATAAAGAAATTTCCTACGATAGACCTAAATTTTTTTTGTCCCATATATAGACCTTAAAAATAAAAATGACCAAAATAGACTTAAATATTTTATAAAAAATTCGTAAATATACCCTTATACCATTTGGGTTAACTAATTCTAGATTTTTTTTGTTTAAAGTTAAGAGTGGGATTTTGGAGGTAGGATTTTCAATTGTTTTTAGAAAAAAAAAACTTAAAATTTTTAAAATAAAAATGTTATTTTGGTCATTTTATTTTATGAGGTCTATTTTGTGATAAAAAAAAAACTTAAAAAGGTCTATTTGAGAGATTTTCCCTTAAATATAATGTTTAAATATAGAATTTTATATAATTATTTATTTTAATATATAATTTTGTTATTTATAAAATACATATAAAGTATTAAATTAAAAAGGAATATAGAATCTTTATAAAAGCTATATTTTCTAAAATTATGTGTTTTATCAAAAAAAAATCTATTTCACTATAAAAAAATTATAGGACATATAGTTTCACTAATTTTCACTCTTGGTTTAATATTATGTAAAAATATTTATTTTGCAAACAAACATGTATAGTTTTTTTTTCTAAATTTACTTGTATTAAGTAAAATGTATAAAATATCCAAAAAATTTTCTAAACATCAGTAAAACCTGTCCGAAACAAATCCAGAAAAAAACTAGATATATATTGAAACAAATTACAATACCAAAAGTGAGCTCAATCATATCTGTCCCCACCCCTGGTAACAAGTGGCACAGTAAAGATCGCTTCTGTCTATTACATAAGCTCTTCTTTGGTCCCAATATTCTTACTCATCAAATAAAGGTTGTCTGCTCTCTTTCAAACCAGTAGTGACAGCTGATGGAGAAGCCAAGGTTCAAGACTGTCCAAGAAGTGATTGCAGCCGGTGAAGGACTACCGGAAAGATATCTCCACACACCTACCGGCGAAATGGAAAGCCAACCACTTGACGCTCCCGTGCCGGAGATGCATATTCCGGCCATTGATCTTAGTCTTCTACTCTCTTCTTCTTCTGAGTACGGTCAACAAGAGCTGAGTAAACTTCACTCTGCGCTCTCTACATGGGGTGTTGTTCAGGTTTGACTCTTTTGAAGTGATGATGTAAAAAAATATGTGGTAAGTTCTGATTTTTTGTTAACATGAACCAGCAGGTGATGAACCATGGAATGACAGAAGCGTTTCTTGACAAGGTTTACCAGCTAACCAAACATTTCTTTGCACTTCCAACCGAAGAAAAACAAAAGTATGCTAGAGAGATTGGTAGTACCCAAGGTTATGGTAACGAGATGATTCTGTCTGATGATCAACTTCTTGACTGGACTGACCGTTTGTATCTCACTACTTACCCTGAACATCAACGTACTTTTCAGTTCTGGCCTGAGATCCCAGCAGATTTCAGGTAAAAACGTTCAATAAATATAGTTAGACTGTTATTAAATGTTTTATACTCTCTCCATTTCAAAAAGTTAAACGTTTTAGCATTTTCACATATATTAATGAAAAACATAAAATTTTGATTACCAATATATCATTTATTATAGATAACAGATCCCTATATTTTTTAACTAATAGAATTTTGAGAAACACAATTATTTTTTTTAGAATCTACAATTTTCATTAAATTATACATTAAAAATGTAAAAAAAAAATACATCTTTTTGAAACAAATATTGTTTCTAGAATGTTCATCTTTTTGAAACGGAGGGAGTAGAGGATTATGGCCTATTGGAATTTTTTTTTTTTTTAGAACACTGTTTTTACTACTTCCAAAGTATCATATGGTTATTGACTTTGGTGATTTTTTTCAGGGAAACTTTACATGAATATACATTGAAGCAACAAGTAGTGATTGAGCAGTTCTTTAAGGCTATGGCTAGATCGTTGGAACTAGATGAGAATTGCTTTCTAGACATGTATGGAGAAAATGGTATGATACATACAAGATTTAACTTGTATCCTCCATGTCTAAGGCCAGACAAGGTTATTGGTGTTAAACCACATGCTGATGGCTCTGCTTTCACTCTTCTCTTACCTGACAAATATGTGGAAGGGCTTCAGTTCTTGAAAGATGGCAAGTGGTATAAAGCTCCTATCGTTCCGGATACTATTTTGATCAATGTTGGAGATCAGATAGAGGTAAAGGTCTCATAATTGAACTGCAAATGGTTGGTCTTGAAGATTGGTTGATAATCTCTTGTTTGGTGGTGTTTAGATAATGAGCAATGGGATATACAAGAGTCCTGTTCATAGAGTGGTGACTAACAGAGAAAAGGAAAGGATATCTGTGGCGTCTTTTTGTGTTCCCGGTGCAAACCAAGAGATTCAACCTGTTGAGGCGCTTGTGACTGAGACAAGACCAAGATTGTTTAAAACTGTTAAAAACTATGCTGACCTCTACTTCGAGTACTATCTACAGGGTCGAAGACCGCTCGAAGCTCTGCTTTGATCTCATGATACTTTTCAAGTCTTGTTCTTAGTTTCACAAATTAATGAATATGTTTCTTTCATGACTTGATCACTAAAGAGAATAATACCGTTGCTTTGTTGTTTTGGAACTGTGAGGCTGCATTGTGTTGTGTTCCTACTCATGATTAATTTATCTTTTGATTACATAACTCCTAGAATGAATTAAATGTTTCAATTTATTTTTCTGAGTATCAAACTAAAATGTAAGAGAATATATAAACTGGTTAACTATCACTCTTTTGGTTCTGGTTCTGTAGACATGCTTTGGACAATAATTGAAAGACAACACCCATTAACAAAAAAAAAACACCCATTAACAAAAGAAAAATGAAACACCGAAAAACTTGAAAACCGTAGAAAAAGAATATAATAGCACATAAAATTAAGCAACATAGAAAAAAGATTTTAGTAGATTTATACCATTTGTCTCCATCTTAACCGGAAAATTATGACAATTTGCACTGAAGAATTTTGTTAAAGAATTAGATTATTATTCCACAATCTCGCAGCTCCACAGAATGTCCATATATACAGTCACACACTTCGTGCCCGTATTATAATCTATAGTGATATTAGTAAAATGGGATGTGTTTGCAGTAAGCACTTAGGAGGAACAAGAACAAGGCTTGAAAACATCTCGCTTCTTGCTTCTCAAACCTTTTGTAAGTCTGTCAATACACAATAGTACTGACACATGTGTAGTTACTAACGTACGAAATAGTTATTATTAGTTATACTGCATGGAGGTTAATTTACTTCTTTTACACGAGTTGGTAGATGTTAGAGAGAGTAACACAACTGTTTTGGGGTTTGCAGTTAGCGAGGCTGAAGTTGAAGTTCTACATGAATTGTTCATCAAACTCACTTCTTGTGTCAGCAATGGCAATTTAATAACCAAAGTTAGACTCCATAAGTAAATATTCTTTCTACAATACTTGTGAATAAGGTCTGTTTGTGTTATGATTATATAGGTTTGTTTCAGGATGGTTTTCAATTTATCTTAACCAAGGACACCAAGAGACATAGTCTTTCCACGGAGCGGGTAAATTTTTTTACTATATGTTTTTGAACTTCTTTTAATGCTGAGACAAACATGATCATTTACATTTCTCATACGTACTTCTCTTAATATTCTTAAAGCTAGAAAGTATAATATTCTTTATTTATTTTTGCAAAAAATATTTTATGTAATTTTACATTGCTCAGACATATACATGCAGATGTTTGGATTGTTCGATATGAGAAACGATGGTGCTATAGATTTTGGAGAGTTTGTAAACTCTCTCAACCTTTTCCATCCGAACTCTCCCCAAAGAGATAAAGCCTTATGTATACTTGAACACTTTACTGTATAGTTTTTAAGAAAAAAATTTATAAACCATGTTATTATTAAATATATTTTGTGATAAAAGTCCCATGTTAAATGTTTATCACTTGTTTATAAACAGTTGCATTTCGATTATACGATACTCGTCAGACTGGATTCATTGAACCAGAAGAGGTACGTCGTCATCGTTTTCACACAAAATAACAAAACACCAAAAGTCAAAGAAAACTACACGTATATATATCTCTAATACCGTATAAGAATAATCACAGGTGAAAGAGATGATAATAGACGTTCTAGAAGAATCAGAACTGATGCTACCTGAAAGTATCATCGACTCGATTGTGTCTAAGGTAGGTAATTATGTATGATATATCACAGTTTAAGAAACTAAGGTTATATACCGGTTTAAGTTATCGATATCATTTCTATATTTTAGGAAACCTCATCAAGTAGATATGAATCGATGTTTGGTATGATAAATCAACACAGCACATGTGATTTGATATTAAAAAAATATGAACATTATAATTAATGTTCATATGCTGTGTTGATTTATCAAACCAAACATCGATTCATATCTACTTGATGAGGTCTCCTAAAATATAGAAATGACAATTAAGACAATGAATTATATATGTGTTCATAGGATGGAAATAATTTCTTACAAATCTTGCTTGTCATAAATTGTGATTGTTAAAATCTTAAGTGTGATTGTCTTGATGGTGGGAGATTGATATCTCACTAAATTTTGCAGACATTTGAAGAGGCTGATAGGAAGAAAGATGGGAAAATAGATTTGGAAGAATGGGAGAACTTTGTGGCCATGCATCCTTTGACGCTCAAGAACATGACCATCCCTTTCTTGAAGTAACTTGTTTATTTCCATATAACATATATACACAATTTTACCAAAAAAACATATATACACATTTTATAAATACACGCAAAAAATAATATTTTGGGAAAAGATGAACCTTTTTTGATAATTGCTGATGAGTGCATTTTTTGGGTTACATCTTTGAGCATCAGCATCCAATTTGGTACTGCGTGTATATTCTTTTTGTCATCTATCTCCCTAGTCCCCTATACACAGATTTTTAAATGTTTTCTTCTTTGATTAAATATTTGTGTATTATCCTTGTCCTTTACAAATGAAGACATTTTTTCTTACATTGAGCCCTTTCATTTCAGGGACTTACCACGAACGTTTCCAAGCTTTATCTTCAATAAAAGTCAGATATTGACTGGTGATGATGTGTCGATAGCTAAAGTGGAAGGATCAAAGGTTCTTTTATAAAATGATAAAAACTCAAAATGTAATATTATTTTGTAACTAAATGTCTTGACAATATTGTTAGCCTATATAACAAGATGTTAAACGTTCAACTAGAGTTTAATATGGCTATAGATTAGTACTTTGCTCATATTAGAATAGCACAAGAAACACAATCTTATTTCACATTACATTATCATTGATTTTTGTTAATATTTCACATTGTTTAGAAAAGCTTACATACATGTACATTTTCACATAGTTTTATACGTTATTAGTGCATGACACACATGAGTTCCAGGGACTTAGCTGTCATCATCAAAGCCATGAAAAAGCAGAGAACTAACCTTCTTGTTTCTGTTTGCTTCCATGCTCTTATTATTATTCTTGCTTACATAAACGGATACACCTTCACCCTGTTGAAGCCTTCTCATTCTTCATGATCATATGAAAAGATTTAACTCTATCTTCCCCAACGATCTCTCTAAGAACATCATCTTCAATCTTCTCAGCTTGCCAAAGAGATGGATCCTCAACAAACTCCTCACTAAATATCATACTCGAAACCCATTCTTTCCATGTAGTTCTCTTGTACTTATCTTCCTCCAACGTTCCTCTAGACAAGAGCTGATAAACATAAACAACTTTCTGCTGTCCCGGTCTGAACGCACGAGCTATAGCTTGCTTTGTCTTTGAAGGGTTCCACTCCGAGTCAAGCATGATGACTCTCGAAGCTGCTGTTAAGCTAATTCCTTCTGCACAAGCCGTGATCGAAGCTAGTAAAACTCTTGAAGGGCTTCCAGGCTCTTCAAACTTGTCTATCACTCTACCTCTCTCAAACACCTCTTGATCACCGGTTAAGGTCAAGATCTCTCTCCCTCTTTGCCACCTGAAAATGCTCTCAAACAGTTCGGTGAACAGACGGATCGGTGCAATGTTGTGGCAGAAGATCAAGATCTTCTCCCTCTTGACTACTCTGAACACTAGGTTAAGCACAAACATGACTTTAGATCCTTTCTTTGCGTCGTGCTTGAGCTTTTCGATCTCTAAAAGTTCTTGCGGGTTCAAGAACTTTGCGCAACAGGCTGTGGTCTTGACCAACCAAGGATGTATAGCTGCTAATGTAACCAGAAGCTCAAGCTCTAGTAGAAAGCCATGATAAGACGCCATTACATTCTCAAGTTTTGTGAGAATCTTATGCTGTATGTCCGTTGAGTTCATCAACAATGTGTAGATCTGCAAACCGGGAAGAGCATCACCGTTACCACTTCCACTTCCTTCATAGTTATCAATGAAGGTAGTAGTCATGTTCCTAAGCATGTTGAGACCTTGAAGACGTTCTTCTCCCACACCAGCATCAATCTTCTTGGCGATGTTATCAAGAAAGAACTTGCGAGCTCTGTTCTCAAGCAGGTGAGGAGCTTTATTCACACCTTGGTTGGCTTTGAACTTCTGATCTAACTCCATTAGAACTTCATGAACAAACTTTGGTCTAGCTAAACACAAAGTGTTGAAGTACTCACAGAAGTTGTTCTGAAACAAAGTACCTGAGAGAAGCACTCTCAAGTCAGTACTAACTTTCATCAAACCCTTGCGTAATCTTGACTTGGTGCTCCTAGGGTTATGTCCTTCATCGAGAATAAGAAGGCCAGGACTCTCTCTTAGCACTTTAGCCATGTACTTCCTGTGAGCAAACTTGGAGTCTTCCCTCATCAAAGTCAGAAACGAGGTGTAACCCATTACAAGAACGCTAGGGTGTGCGTGCCATTTCTGTATCTTCTCTAAGCAGTCAAGAACATGCATAACATCTTGGGTAGGTTTAGGAACTCCTTTGAAGTTAACTACACTGTTCTTCTTGAATACACAGTAGGTTCTTCTTCCATGGATCAAATGAACCGGAACTGGGATCTCCCATTTGATGAACTCTTTGTACCAAGTGTAGAGAGTTGTCTTTGGAGCAAGAACCAAAGGTCTTTTACCAGGAAACAGCTTTAAGTAGCTTGTAAGGAAAGCAATCATTAGGAATGTTTTACCAGCTCCTGGAGCATGAGAGACCACACAACCTCCTATGTTATCTGAAGTTGGATCCATAAGAGGAGGCTCCACAGATCCTGCTAGGTTCCTCCAAAGAAACTCAAAAGCTCGCCGTTGATGCATGTGTAGCTTTCTCTTAAGGTGAGGTATTAATGCCCAAACGTTGTCGCTTTCTTCAGCTGCAAGCATCTCAGAAGACTCATTTGGCATAGTGTAAGCTTTGCTTGTGGATTCTTTGTTTCTCAGTTTAGTATTTATGTCATCTTCTTCTATCTGCTTAGTCTCTATGGTCCACTTCTTATGTTCAGCCTATTGAAACCAAAACCATGAATTATAGTCATTTATAAAGCGAAGTAACATTATATGGTTGAAAAGTGATTCACTTACAAAAGGTGCAGAGACATGTTTGATCTCACTTCCTACATGACCACATAACCTACAACACATACCAATCTCTTCATCCAGCATATAATCATGTTCACAACCACTTTTCACTTTTTCAAAAGCTTCATTGTCCACTCTTACCTACATTATCAACGTTTATATGATATAGTTTCAAGATAAGAGAATGATATTTGGAAGAGAATGATATAAATAATACCTCATTGTCATCAAGAATGTAAGAAGAAGCCAAACAAAGTTCCATTTCTCTCCATAACATATCATTCTCTGAAGTCTCTCCATCACCACCATCTTCACTAGAGGCTCTTTCCATCTCCCATCCGTGTGGCTTAGAACCGAAGTTGCTCTTCTTTAACTCCTCCCACTGGTCAACAACACTGGTTGGCTCGTTCTTGGAAGCTATTGTTGAATCAATGTTGCTCATGTAGGCATCTATCAGCTTGTTATATGCACCTGCACTTAACGTTACTTTCTTATACACCTTTGGTTCATCAGAACTTTTATTCTTTTGAGCAGCTGACCGCGAAGACGATCTGGTTACTCGTGTTTGAACCGTCCTCACCACATGGTTAGGACCTTTCCAACATAGATCAGACTCCATCATCTCTTCCATCTCAGTTGTTTTCTTACCGAACTTCACAGACTTGCTTCGGTACTTCTCAATCTCATCAAAGTAGTTGTCTCTTGAGAAACCACCACCTTGGTTTAAGGTATTAGCATTAAGACCAAACTGTTCCAAGGGTATAGGATCAAACACTGGAGTGAAAGGCATAACATTCAGCTTGGACTTCCTCTCTGTTCCTCCTCTCTTCTTCTTTACCATAACTATCTCTCCTTGCCTACGTTTTGCTATCACTTGTAGAGACTTCCTTTGTTTTACACGTCTTCTCTTCTTCTCTACCATAACAATATCTCCTTGACTACGTTTTGGTTTCACTTGAAGAGACTTAGATCTTTTTATCTTGAACAAATCATTATGAGTATCATCATCATCCTCATGATCACTTTCTTCTTCTTCATCATCATAGTCCTCATCTTCCATACTAATCACAGCCATTTTTTCAAACCGGTATGGCATCATCCGCACCCAACCATCATTTGTATCTATCTGAAAATCACATCCTGTATACCTATCTGGCCTCATAACTCTTCTCTTGGACCGACGCAGTTCCACAACCTCATCTTCTTCAGAGTAAAGTTCTGTTTCTTGGTTCACTTCAAGATCTACTACATCCGCAGGATTAAACTTAACCACTTTGGATAAAGAGACACCATCTTCCACTGTCATATTCATAGAGCTCAAAGAACTGCTAGATGCTTCATTTGTTACAATCTGATAAACCATCTTGTTCTGCACTGTCCTTATGTGGAACACAATGTTCTTCATTACCGAAGTAACAAGCAACCAAGAAAGATCAGGCAAGAAGTTGCCTAAAGAGAGTCTTGTTTTCATCAAAGTAGTACAGTCCTCAGATAACTTCCACCTGTAGAACTGATCACTACTTTGTTCCTTGTAAAACTTTTGGAGGATAGAGATTTGGTTTAGACCAATGATTACTGAATCTCTGTTGATTCTTTGTCCTTCCATTCCAATGCAGCCTTGGTCTATGTAGATTCTTACATAGATCACACATGTGCATTCAGATTCATGTGGCTTCCTCTCTATAGAAACAATCCTAGCATCGATCCAAACCTATTCAAGAAAAGAAACAGATCATAGATTAAACTGAAATAATATTTTGGTTAGAGTATTTCAAAGTTACATGTATCTACCGGTTCCAAGTCATCTTCATGGAGAGGATAGAGGATACAAACATCGATACCAGGCCTAAGGAAACATGTACAGTCGTTTAAAGTGGCCTTTCTTGATCTTAGACGAAGTCTTTGGAAGGGACGTATATCTTCTAACATATAACCGTTCTCTAACAGAGGCACTGTCATCTTTCCATGTTCGATTCTTATGTACTCCACAGGCTTCCATGTGTTAGATGAGAAGATCTCAAAAGCTACACATTCACAAAAAAAGTTATCTCCATTATTTATAATCTAACCCCACACTATGACTCTCTGAGTTGCAGCAACACTTACGGTATGGATCAAATGGATGCTTCAAATCGTAGTAACGTTTTCTTTTCATCTTTTGTAAATGTTTTGGATCAGTT